ACCCCAGCAATCAAAAAAAGCCAAATCAAGACATAAAAAAAGCTAGAAAAAGCCAACAATTTTACTAAGTACAAAAGCCCCATGATTTGTCAGATTTTAAGCCCTTGGCAATGTACTGATGATGATATAGAGCCATTAGTTCATTCAGTGAGGCACACGAATGGAAAGTAAGGGTTCCTATACAACTGTAGAAAAGTAAAATAAATATCAAGCGAACAGCACTATTTTACTATTCAATATATACAATACTGAGTGCCGCTTCAGTCTGTCAGTATGTAATATACCTACATGTTTTTACTTAAACTTGTGATATACCTTAAAAAATTCTCCCTATATCGTACTCTACTATTGAAAATTTTTTCACTTTCAAAAGTTATAAACCATCAATTTTATTAAAAAATTATCTAACCCCCTGCCGCTCACTGATATATTATTCAGTAATTTTAGCGTAGTTAATCACATCGCTACTGCAATTGCAGAATTAAACTGAAGCTCACATAAACCATATCAGGCATAATGAAAATTAAGTTATACAACTATTTTTTGGAAACAGAACGTAAAACTGACAAATAACACGCAAAACTGTAAAAACGAGGCAATGTTTACAACCCTGCTTGAACATCTGTTTGAGCAGCTGCAGAAACTGCAATTATTTCTTATTGGGTATGGTTAAGAGTCAATGTAACAAACAAGGGAATCGATGCTCCAGGAAATCCTAATGTTAAGTAGCTAAGTACAGGTAATGACTATTGTTCAGTTGTTACACACTAAATATTTTATTTCATATGATTCTAATAATAGACACTAGAATAGACTTGAAAAAAGCCAAAAAAAACGCCAAAAAGCCAAACGGAAATTCTGACGCCAAACGCGTTTGAAAAAAGCCAAAAATGGCAAATTTGGCGTTAAAAAAGCCAATATGGCAACCCTGGCTTGAATATCTGTCTGAGCGAAAGTGTCTGAGCGTCTGCCTAAATTGCAGTTGTTACGTCATTGTTAACTTATTGCTGATTGTTCATTGTTACAGACAAATCGATGCTCGGCAAGCATCCGCATCTAATTCTATTCCTTAAACTTGCATACATGATTTGTGTCTTTGACCAAACCGCCTACTGACCTAACTGCATTGTGAATCAGTCTTGCAATTGTTTATATTTACACATAAAGTTTAGTACCGGTAATTCCATAATCTATCCTGAGTGATTCAAGAGCCAGGCTGCATAATTTATGTTGGCCCAATATGAGCCTTATTATAGTTGAAATTTTATTGGTAATACCCTGTTCCAATTCTCGATGAAAAGTTGTCAATTACAGCTCTGTCCCTTTGTGTATAGATAGATATTCAGTAGATTTGTCACTAAGTTATAGCAAATTTCTTGCTGTCAACTTTAATATTCAAACATTCTAATAGCTGGACACGATTGAGGATTATTGGTCCTATCCTTTTTATTGAAGGATTGGGTGAATTCCTGCTGATGGACTCACAATACTCTGTTGACTTTACTATGTGAAATATGGATCATTTATAAAATTTTATACAACACCTGCCATCGTAAATTTACTTTAGAACCTGTAATGAGTGACACTGACCTACCGACTAGTTTTCAATACTCTGATGTCCTTATACCATTTTAAATCTAGTTTATACTTGGTTTACAATGTAGTAAAATAAAAGTGGTCTCAAATTTTGCATGAGCCAACCTGTTGTGATTCGTTTGTTGTTTAATATTTATTGTGCAATTCACGTTAACTTGTCACGTGAGCAGCTAACAATCATAATTTCTATTGCGGGTCGGTTGGCCTAACTCTTTTGCTTATAGCCTACTTTATGTTCATTATTTTTCGATATATATTAATTGTATTCGGAAATATCAATATCACTAATATAAACGCTGAGAACTTTGACAGAATATTTGATGAATTCATACAGTCATTCGTTAGTACCATCGATCGGCATGCCCCACTTCGACCACTATCACGTCGGCAAAAACGGTTAAGGTTAAAAGCCATGGCTAACCAAAGGGTTGATCAATTGTACGAGACATAGAAATAAGTTATTTAAAACCCATTTTTATGTGGCAACCCTCTGCAACGTTCATACTTTAAGAAGTATCGAAACACACTCACTTCCGCATTAGAAAAAGCGAAGCAAATTCACTAGTTTTCCAGTTAAAAAATTTACCGCTCGTCAACGCGGAAAGCCATTCGTGGCCTGACCTGAACTAAATCCCGACAACTTCAATATTTTTTTGTATTTTGAGTTGCATAGTTCATCTCGAACTGCAAATCACTACGATTTGTGTTATAGTCACAGATTATCACAAAAACTTCTACCTCGTTAACACGCGGAAAGCCAAACCAAAAATCGAAAGTCCTATTCACTACTTCAAAACGAATGTCCTAGCATTGTATGGAACCCTCATATTCTTCGCTTCATGCTAACTTAGGTCTTAGAAATATGACAACAGTTGTTTTTGAGAAACACGTGTTTTATAATTGGCGTAATCTAATCCAGTGATTCCCAAAGTGGGCGATATCGCCTCCCGGTGGGAGAAAACGATACAGAGGGGGGGTGGGGCGAAAAAGTCGAAGGGGGCGATGGGAGGGGGGCGATTTCGCAAAACCTGTTTTTGGTCGGCGCATCGTGCACTTGATTACTGTACTCTGCGTGCTTTCGTAGATTTCAATCACGTGGGCGATGTCACACGCGGAAGGATTGCTGGACTCGTCTTCGCAGTAAGGTACGGTGGTTTGCGTATCCCAGTGGTCGGGAAATCTGTAGTAATCTGGCCCGGGACGCTTCACTGAATGGATCTTTTCCCGACCTTTGACCCCGGCAATTTTTCCCATGCTTTACGATTCTAAAATGTTCGGTGTTAATTTTTATAATGGTTTCGCGAGTTGTTGCCTATAAAATGAAGTATTTGTTTCAAACTAACATTCTGATTCATACCATTCAACAATCTGCTTTTTAAAAGTACCGATAAAGAATTTTAGCCCAGTCTATCACAGCTATTTCTACACTAATTTTTTATTACTGTAATTAAACAAGGTAATTAAACAAGGACAAGGTGTCACATTGACTTATTTTATTTAAATTTCCGAAAAACAAGTAAAAACTAACGAATATAATTCAAAATCGCGAAAATTAGGTAATGTTCACGACCACGCCTGAAAGTCTGTCTGAGTGAGGAATGTGTCTGAGCGGATGCGAAAGGGGGCATTGTTACGTTTATTTTTGCATCTTGCTAGTAAACATCCAAACGGCGGTTTTAACGATGAATTAACCTTATTTATTATCTACGCTCGAGGATTAAATTACATTTTTTTACGTAACAGAATTTATCGTGAGACACGTTTAGATTAAATTTTATTATATCCCAAAACTATATTGAACAGCTACTCGCTCAACGAGCCTACAATTTAATTATAATTAGACAATTGGAAACACGCAGAAAAGTTTATGTTATTGCAATGCAATAAGGAAATCAATCCTCATCCCTGCTTAATTTTTTTTAAGAATGTATCTTCTTAAAGAAAATCTTTATCAAAATTTCACAAACCATGCAAAAATATTCACTTCGATGTTTGGAAGTACATATTTGTTCCAATTATTTTTGAAATGAACATTACAAAGAACAAGCAAAGAACTAGGATTAGTGATGCCCATTCAGAAAATCTTCCAATCTTGGCGTCACATTAAATGTCATTGTAATAATTTTTTAATAAGACGATTGAGTGGAGTTCACGAATTGTCGCAGTTTTTGAACGATGTTCCGTTTTTAACATTTGAAAAATATATGCGATCCGCAAAAGAATAGCAACCCTAAATTTTGTCCCGCGAGCGACTTAAAATTTGCCGACCCCTGAGCCATCCAAGTCCACGAATCCAAAACAAATGGCTGATTAATTCCATGGACTGGTGATCGGACTGGAGGACGTGGTAGGATGAGAAATGGGGGATGGATTTTACCGAAGACCGTTATATATCATGTATTTCGGTGAAGGTCATCAGGCTGTAGGGATAAATGAGATGTACCTAAATCATTATTATAAGTTTTGAAAAATTAATTTTGTTTTTATTATTTTAAGGTGAAACGGGGTGAATTTAGGGAGTTAAATGCTATAAGGCAAGAGTACACGGCGGTTTTTGAGAGGGTAGAACCCTGGATTCTTTCATTTACGACCTCTGATATGGTAAAAAAGGGGTTTTCAGCCGTGACACTATTGCTATCAAAGCAACTAAATCGCCTTTCCATTAGTAAACGGGGTAATTTTAGATATAATAAGAAACTCGCTGAAGAACACCAAGCTCATCCATTTCAATAAAATACACTATAAACTATGATTTTTCTCCGTATTTGTTCTGTAATATATTCGTTTCAGACTTTCAATTTTTTTTGCAGTGCCGGGGGGCGATGGAGTTGTATAAACTACTGTAGGGGGGCGATGGTACAAAAAGTTTGGGAACCACTGAATTCTAATCTACAAACTAATCAATAAGGAATTGTGACATCATAAACATGTCTGGCGAGAGATAAAATTTGTCTCTAAACTTAAAGCAAAAATGTACCACGATGAAGAAATTATATAAATTACAAATTGCTATTATAGGGACTATTGACCCTATCTGCGTGTCCACACTCCCGTGTTATTGAACACACGTTAACAGAGTGTAACTCTGATCTGGATTCCCTCAGACGATAATGAGCACACGATGTTGAATGACAAATGTTTTTATATTGTAAAGATGCACAATCGAATTGACCCAAATAACAGATTACACTTGAAACCCTAATGCAGTTATATGTGATGAAACCAAATTACTAACTAACAAAGAACGACTAACACTGAGCGAGGGAAATATATCATAAAGGAAATGAATTAGAGCAACGACCTTGTTTCAGGCGAATAACAAGCACTATTATAACAATAAGAGGTATAAATATTAAAATACACAGTAACTACCCTAATGTACTCGCTACACTATTAATGACAATGGAATATTAAAAGGAAAAAATGATGAATATTTTACGTATTAAAATTATTTTATGCTTTTATGCGTGTTGAGATCAGCGTGCCAGTATAGGTACATTAAATAATGAGCCAGAAACCACCGAATCACATCATTTGACTTGAATGAGACGTGTATCGGAACAATTATCAAACTCAAGGCTACAAGTTCAGCAAAAATCAGTAAAATCCCCACAGCAGCATGGAGGGCGTTCCAGTGATGGAAGAATTTGCGCAGCGGATGTAGCGCCGCCTCCAATTGGACCAATGCCGAGAAGACCATTTGGAACATGTTTACAGGCTAATAGAGGACGTGAAAAACTTTGGGGTACAATCGTACATAAATAGCGAAGGCGAAGAATTATGTATATGTTTATGTAACTATTGTTAATAACCTAAATATTTGATTATATTAATGATATGAATACTAATTCTGAATGGAACATACAATAATAATGATGGGGACCATATTGGATGATGAACCTTATTGTATTCTTATATCAACACATATAAAAAATAAAAAAAAATTAAATAATTACTTTTGCGGGTCACCCAGAGTTGTACTAACATTTGAATATACGGTAAATTTCTATTTAGTTTAATTGAAATCCCCAGGTCATATGTTAAACAAACCCAATGCATTTTGCATTATCAAGTTGAGCGATTTCTTTGAAACGAGCTACGTGCACATGCGGCGCTTTGCCAGCACGGGTACCTACTATTAACTATATATATATATAACGGTACCGGTATCTGTTTTTCTCAAGTCCAAAGTCCTTGTAAATTGTAACAGGATATGTTATTTCTATATACTGACATAGCCTACAGAGCATTGTTAACTTCAGTCGTAAGCTGCCGGTATCGGCGGCTGGTAGTTTTACAGCCTGACAGTGGGGGATGCTGATGTTACACAGGACAAGCCATTATTCTCTTTCTTTATGCACTGTACAGCATGGATACCTTGCTTGCGAAAGGAAAATATCCAATTACTTAAAAAGACTTTGGAAAGAAGGAGAAGTTGAGAGACATAAAGAGTTCCAAACCTGGGCAGAGTTTGAAAATAGGGGATTTAAAAAGCCAGAGTATACAGACTGCTGGATTATTGAAAAATATGGATTACCAAAGAATGAACTTAAAAAAGATGTGATAAATGTGAACTACCAAAAATTCCAATCTTGGGATGCCAGACATGCTCGAATGCGACAAGCAGTTTACAAACCAAATGAAGTTTTGGTGAAGGTTCATGCCGCAAGTATAAATCCCATAGATTTAGCTATCTGTCGAGGGTATGGAAAAAATCTTTTTAATTTTCGGAGGAACTTTCTTTTAGAACCATTCAGTCATTTCATTAAGATGGGTGATTATACAGAATTTCCCTTGATTTTAGGTCGTGATTTTTCTGGTACTGTAGTAGATGTTGGTTCAGGTGTACACGATATTGTCCCAGGAGACGAAGTGTTTGGGGCTCAGCAACTTTTTCGGAATGGCTCTTTTGCAGACTGGATTTGCGTTGACTTTAACTGTATCAGTCAGAAACCTGCCACTTTGAGTCATATAGAAGCTGCAACACTTCCATATGTAGCGTTGACTGTGACATCCGCTTTGAAAAATTTCATTAAGAATGCCACTGGTAAACGTGTTTTATTGCTCGGAGGGGCAGGCGGTATAGGAACTTTTGCTATACAATATTTAAAAACAAGGGGTTCCATGTTGCAGTTACATGCAGTGAAAAAAGCAATTCATTATGTTCAAGTCTTGGTGCTGCCGATTGTTTTGATTATACCTTGCCAGATTTCAATGAACGAATTTTGGAGGAACCAAGATATGACCTTGTATTTGATATTGTTGGGTCATCTAATCCAGAGCATGCAAAAAGTATGTTGCATAATGGTGGAACATATGTGACTTTAAAGTCACCTCTTGTGCAAAATACTGATGACTATGGTCTGTTGTTTGGTTTATCCACATCAGCTACTTCATATCTAAAGACGAGTCTATTTCGGAATAATATTAAAATTAAATGGCCATATTTTGCTCCCGACAGACTTGCATTACTGGAAGTTGCAAAACTTGTTGATGAAGGATTAATTCAAACGGTTATACATGAAACATTTAATTTTCAAGATGTACCCATGGCTTTGGAAATGTTAGAAGCTGGAAAAACTAAAGGCAAAATTGCCATTAATGTGTCAGGACTTTCCGAAGCAACTGAAAAACCGAATATTGAAAAAATAATACATTTATGATATAAACAATCGCTGAGTTTTTATCGCTATCGATGCGGTTGACCTACCAATTTGATAATAAGATGATATAGTGAACCGCTTTTTGAAGCACATTCTCAATATATAAATTCCCATATAGGGGCAAGTGCATTGCTTGGACCTTGAATTGAACAATCGGATCATTTCCATATATGAATCAAATAACTTTTTTAGACTGTAGTTTCTTGCAGATGGCTGTACTTTTGATCAGTTTGAAACACATGTACAGCATAAAATTTACTGTGAATTCTCGCTTATCTTTGATAAAATTGCTTTCATTCTATTACAGTGCTGGTATGTAGTCTTTACCACACCGTCTCATGCCTGTAGCTCACCAACTCACTAGACCACTAAAGTTAAAAACATTACCGAAAAGTTTTCACTGGATAACTGTTTGTCATAACATTGCCAGTTGGACATCTGCAAGCCCACTCGTCAGTCATTTAGTAAAAAATAACTATGTGATCCATTCGGAAAATGATGCAGTTAGCAGATCATACTTTAAATTGAATACACTCGGAAATGTGGTGATTAAAAACTGGGAAGCAGAATGGAAAAAATTTTTACCCTTCGGCAAGATTCGAATAAATGAACTGAATTTATCAAGGTATATCATAGCTAAGATAGAGTGTACAATTGGTTGAAGAAAATAATATTTATAGGTGGATTATTCTAAATCACTGGTGACTATTTTTTATAGAATAAATGGCGATTGGGATGACAAAATTATGAAAGAATTCAGGAAATTGATTCCACTCCCAAAACACTTTGTTGCTGCTGTGAATTTTAAAGAAGAATCCTCAGATGAGTATGTATATGTCTGTTATTTTTATCTGTTCATCCATGACTTCTCATTTTTCACAACATATATATATGTGTTGCAGAACCAAACGAAAATTACTGATTGCACTGTCGAGACAGTCTACAAGTAGTAAAGAAGAGGTTCAAGAAATCCAAATTGAACAAATAAGATTCATAAAAAATGTAAGGTTTAATATTATCTGTGACAAAGTCAAACTGTGATTTTTAGTTTTGATATTTTGGAATTGCAGTATTTCAACAAGCCAGCCAGAGTGAAATTATGTGGAGGAAAGAATAATGACGGTGTCGTTGAACATCAAAACATTTTATATGAAAGTGACGATGACACTTTTTGTTTGCAAGATATGAGGGAATATCCGGAACAGGTTTGAATGAGAAAAATAAAGTGCTCGGCTGATTCAATGCAAAATATAAAAATTATGTTTTAATTTCAGAAAGGCTTGGAAAGTGGGTGTACCATATTATCCTTGGATTTGCAACAGATTTTCAGAGCAGTCATGGCAGATGCATATGGAATAAGGTTTAAATATGTCATTCCCCCCAAAATAGCTAATAATAGGTTATTCTTCGACCTCCTATTAGAAAAATGTGTGTACTTATATTCTGGGCCTAAAATTTCAGCAGCATGTGTTTGTGATTCAGAGATAATCATCAATATCTCAAGCTTCATCCAAAATTAGCTCCAGTCAAAGTAGTTGTGCTGCATGAATGCGAAAGCAGTGACAAGGACTTCACTATAATAACACAGGTTAGCGATCGACAGATTTGGCTCCCACTGTGCTGTTTTCTACCAGATGGTGTTGATGTATATAAACTGTTTTCTAGCTGACTGAAGAAGTCTGCACTATGCTAAGGTCAATAAATGTCACTTGTTGGAATGGGATGTCAAGACAACTGACACTAACTGATGTAGATGAACTTGGGGCTCCGTTTTCAATAATACTGCCCACTAGCATATTCGAAAATGGAATACTATTTTTGAGAAATTTAAATACAACAATCAAGGTATGTATAATGGGACTAGAAACTATTTTTGTTGGTGATCGGAAATAATGATATCAGCAATAGGTAATGTTCATAATTTATTTCAGATGGAAGTCCATATGTCTACCCTCAAGGAGAAGCTACTAAAATATCTTGGTGCATCATAACAAGCAAAAAAGATTTAATATTTTTATATTATTGTTAAACTTCATTCCCATACCGTAAAAATTGCCAAATATGAATTATAATAAAACAATTATGATATATCAATAAATAATCCACACCTAAGTTCACTCGTCGGTGTCCAACATTTTCAGCAGCTTTGGTAAACATCAGCTAAAAGGCTATGATAATGTGTCAATTAGGTAGGAGTGGAAGGTTATGGAGACTTGGTCATTGTGGTCATTGTTTTACTCCTAGCCAAAGTAGTAATAAGGACACCGTTTAATAAATCCACCTAAATAAACCTACAAGAGGGAATAATCACAGACTACAAATTTCATTGACATTCAGTTAAAACTTTCACAGACTTGAGTTTATGCCAATATTTAGCAACAAGCATATCTGAACAGAATATTATAGATAAAGTTCCTGGGTGGGATAATTTTTGCCTAGCAATAAGTTTAAATGTGCGATGGAAGCTAAACCAGCTTTTTTGCTTCGAAGAAGCCTTTTAAATGCCTCATTTGCCACATTCCAGCAATAACTAAAACAGCAGTTTGGGCGATAGACCACCACAACACTCTGGAATTTGTAGTCTCGCTAGTTATTCTGAATCGTTCTTCTCTGTAACGTTGATAGTCTTGCTCCTTTTGGATTTGTTGCACTTGATCCAGAAGCTGTCGGACACGAAGCTGAAGTTCAGTCAATTTATCCTTGGCAGCAATCTCTGAGTAGTCATTTGTGTGTTCACCGACAAGAATATCCAAGTGAACTCTCAGTTTTCCACCTGCAAACAGGGCCCATTTTGTTGAGTTAGAATGTATGCAAATCTGGTGTTCACCAGGTGTGTGGGAGGTAAAGGTAAAAGCCCCTTCAGACCCATAGCTTTTTGACAAGAGCACTTTGTTCATAGGGTCTTTTACCTCAACGTGCATTCCCATTCCTGGAGTAGAATCCAAGAATTTCTCAGTGCGTTTATCCCACAGCTGTGATTTGTATTTTCCTGTAACCATTGTATCTTCCGGCAATTCTTCGATAAAGCATTTTTTCTCTTTCTCACCAACATGAAAGTAAAGAGCGTCGACTCCCCACCGCGCAATCAGACAAGCAAAAGCTACAGTTACCAACAGTGATTGACCCATATTTCCTTTTGTCTCAATTCCAGCCAATTGTCATATACAATATTTACTGCGCCGGACTATTTACAGTCACGACAGTGCTAACTTTGGCACCTTATAAGCGAAGACGATACGGTATTCAACGAACCTAATCTAGTAACGACCTGCTTGTAAAACGCCACAAAACAACCGTCGCGCGACACTAACCATCTCATCTTGGAGATGCACAACATGGAACACAGGTTGAGATTATTGGCTGTTGAAATTTGATTTTCGGATTGGCATTTTCAAAATATTTTTATTTTAGCGAACTTTTGTATCAATTAAAAATATGTTTAAAATATAGTATTAGAATTGTTCACCTAGAAACTTACGTAAAGTCAGTGTTTTCGCCGTCATGTTTAGAATAGTTTGCGATAAAAAAGTTTGAGACAATCTTCACGCGGATGTTAGGATTTTTTTCTGCGCAGATATAAAATAGAATTTAAATTTATTTCTAAGACTAATAAGTAATAAATCGAATGACATCCTAAAAAAAGAGATTTTGACAGAATTGTCGAGTGGAAGAAATGACGTAATAAAAAAATTAGAATCGAGCGTGTTATGGGACTGAGATATACTGCATTTTCAACGCATGAATGCTATCGCCACGTAAGTTCAGAGTTTTTTCGTTGCTAAACGCTGACGCTTTTCAATGCCGCCGGTTTCCGAGTTGACAAAGTTATAATCGCATTTTATTAGTAAACTTTTCCTAGTGGTGTAACGCTTTTATTCCAAGCGGTTTCTTCATTTTTGTTAATTGTAGTTGACTTTGATAAGTTCGGGTATGGCTCCAGTGTTTCGTACACCTTGAATTTGCATTGTGACAAAAGAATATAAATAACGTAACCTTACGCAACCGATAACAGTGTGTGTGGGGTGATTCAAAGCTACAAAGATCTAAAATTAAAATATAGGCGATATCATTTCCCATTATAGAGCATAATATATTATTTTCATCGACGAGTTCCTATTACAGTATTCAATTGTTTGATATGGAAATCTTGATGTTTATAATTTTCAGATTCAGGATATTTTTATTAAACAGTTTGTCTAACTAACATTGGTATTGCCGACTGTTTATTTCAATCCCAACGGTAATGAAAAAAATCACTTCAATTAAATATATCAGGAGGAAATTTTATTATATTTTTTGATTGTCTTATTTATAGTTTGATAAATGCAGAATTGAGCATAAAATAACAGCGGCTTCTTGATCGACCTTAATTTCAGAATTTTGATTACAATTGTCTGGTTGTTCATCTAGTCTGAGACCCAGCAGTACTGAAGAGCAATAACTTCTGAACTTTGCTATTTCTTGACCACAAACTTATTATTTGTTTATCTTAAATCTACTGTAATAATTGAAAGTTCCCACTACCCTGCTATCCGACTACTCTTAATGACAAAGTTGTGTAGTGATGAAGCTGCAGGTTTTTGTTAATATTGAGTAATAAATAATAATTTATCATTTCTTGATAAAACTTCAATACTGGCAGATTCATTTTTGGCAAGTGAATTCAGCACTGCTTGCTTTGAAATGTTTTAATTTTTCTCCCTCGAGCCTTGCATATTCAATACCTATTTCGGTTTTCAACAGCAAATAGCTGAATTTTAAAAAATTGTATAGGGATTTTTACTGATTCCAATCAAAATTAAATAAAATAGTGCAGTTATCGTGAAACACACTGTTATCAAAGATGAATATTTTCCGATTGACCGGTGATCTTTCCCATCTTCTTGCTATTATGATCCTACTTGCCAAAATATGGAAGACGAGGTCGTGTGCAGGTGATAATCGTTTGTATTCTTTATTTTGAGACAACTGTGCTTGCTTATGATGCTCAGTTTTATTATTTTCTATGCTTCGTGAAAAACACTGTTTCGTGAAATATCAGTTTTAATTACTTAAGAAAAGATGCTTAGCAAGAATTTTTGGCCTAAATCCAATTTAGATTGATCAAATTACCTAATTTTACAGGAATATCTGGAAAAAGTCAAGTACTCTTTGCATTGGTTTTTGCAACAAGATATCTTGATCTGTTCACCAACTTTATTTCTGCTTACAATTCCGTTATGAAAGTAAGTAGATGATCTTTTTTTATATTTGTGATGACTGATACTGATTGGATTTCTCTGAGTTATGCTCTAATTCTTTTTTTTCATCACAGATTATCTACATTTCCTGCGCATTTGCCACTGTTTATTTGATCTATATTAAATTCAAAGCAACGTACGATGGAAATCATGATACTCTCAGACTTGAATTTCTTATCGTACCTGTTGGAGGTCTCGCATTTCTGGTGAACCATGAGTTTTCACCGCTTGAGGTATTTTAATTAGTTCTCAATTTTGATAGTAGAGCATAAAATATTCCTTCCCTTTATTATAAATAGGATGGCACTTCAATTTTCAGGAGAAACAAATAAAACATACCATAGTTCATAATAATTGCTGATAGGGGGAGATAATACAAGACTTACGAATAACAAAATTTGGTGTATATGGTATGTTTGTGAAATGTTTGGGTATCAATACGTTTACGAATTACTGAGAAGAATTTTAAAGTAGCAGAACTAGAGGATGGAATAATTTATACTTGCGAGAAAGGAGCAGAGTGAATTATGTTATTACTCATAATGACCACACTATTTACTTTTCAAGATTCTCTGGACATTCAGTATTTACTTGGAATCTGTTGCCATCCTTCCACAGCTGTTCATGATTACCAAAACTGGAGAAGCAGAAACAATTACTACACATTACCTATTCGCCCTGGGTAAATTTAACTTTTGAGTTTCTAATTCTTTTTGCTTATTGTGGATAAAATCTTAATCTATGCTGTGAGATAAATTTACATTTTGGAGGAAAAGGAGTAGCCCTCCAGATTTGGAATTGATCATGTCTTTGAATATCCTATCCAAGTTGCTGATTTTCTTGTCACATTTAATATACCGTAATAACTATTATTCACAGGAATGTACAGAGCACTATACCTTGTGAACTGGATCTGGCGTTATTACTTCGAAGGATTCTTTGATCTGATCGCTATCGTTGCTGGATGTGTTCAAACTATCTTATACTGCGACTTCTTCTACCTGTATGTCTCGAAAGGTGAGTTTGAAGTATTGGCTATATTTTAAGTAATAAATGAAATTCATTTAAAAAAGTGCAGACTTTCATCATTTAAAATGATTAATACCATTTTTTGATTCATTGAAATTCGGAACATATGTAGCTGGGTTGTGCATTAAGTCTGAAAATTCCCAGATTTGAATAATTTTTGATTTACATTCTGTTATGTTTCGATGTGTTTAATATTCCAAACAATTATTTTACATTTTGAGCGTAGATTTTTTTTTTTCGTGTGCTTCCAAATAAACTATTTTCTACCTTGTGCTTGTCTCTGATACAACACTACTTGATACATTACTAATCGCACTGACCTTGGGTTTGGCTATGTATCTCTCTGCTAGAGTCCTTGTGTCTGTGTATTTCAGACGGTATTAAAGAAATGCAGAGCCTCACTTCTGATGACATATGATCTGTAATCCAGGACATTCACGTCAACTCTCTTACACTTATGATTTAATGCGAATCTTTCTCCGTTTCAGTGCTGAAAGGGAAGAAACTCAGCCTACCTGCATAAACGCATCTTCATCCAGGACGACAAAATAACCTCCTGTGAGGTTCGAACTGCTATTCTGAGACTATAAAACAAATAGACTTTCAAATAAAATTATTTTTTTTCGAGTTCAAATACGAAAATGTCTATGTGACATGCTCGATGTGAATTGATCTATACATGTAATATATGCTTTTGTTGTTTGAACAAACTTATTTAGGAAATTATCTCCATATTCAGAAGGGTCCTCCATCCATATTTGGAATTTCTTGACGATGAATTGTAGTCCGGTTAATGATACCAAAGTTTGACCCTGATCGCTGTATTATTTTTCCGCCAGGACTATTCGAAATCAGTGTTTTAGTGAACCTTGTATAATAACAACGCTTAGAATATGTAGCTGCTGCCTTGCCCATCGGAAAACATACTTACATGCATGCAAGTTGTCAATGGTGATTATAAGGCTTTTGCTTTTCCCATCCATGTTCTTCCCTCATAAATTTGCTAGACATGGATATGTGTATAGTGTTGGATGTAAATGCACTGATATGAAAATTTTTTTTGATCATTTCTTATTAGAAAACTATCGATATAGCTAGAGATTGATTGTATTAGGGGTGCCACCCAGTAGTTTTGTTGCGGAGTAGATTTTTCTTTTATTAATATATGAGAATGTGACAGTTTTGGAGGTCATTTGGTGCTACAGTGCTTTCTTAACATCTAGTACTTTACCTGAAAATATGCCGATCGGGTATGCTTTTATAAGTATTCAATGCTAAGACTAACTATATCTATTTTGTCATGTTTTTTTATGCCGGCTCTTCGATGCCCAATAAATTTACTTCAATTTTGAGACATAGCACCCACATTTTGTTCTGCATTTCACAAATGGATTTTAAAGTTGATGCAAACCCAACATAACCCTTGAATGAAGAATGTAAAAATTTGTTCAGTTTTTTTTTTACAGTTGCCTGTATATTTTCCTCCATTATTTTTTCAAGTTGCATGGTTTGAGCAAAATTATAGTTTCCTGATGATCAGCGATTGAAACCTTGTTATAGAGTACAGATTTTTGACTGATGAACTGTAAAAAGAGAATGACTGTTACTACTAAATAAATCATATTGTTACACAATTCCTCATTTGTGATGAAACATAGGTATGAGGCTAAAATAGTTCCCTGGCCTTGATTGTATCGGATGGTTTTCCTGACGAAAATCTTAAAGTGGAAAAGTTGACAAACGAAGTCATATTGTCATTAGTCGAGCTGAAATCACTGGCAGGAGTACGGTTCATCATTTTGGTAACCACAGTCAAGATAAAATAGAAAGTAAAGCTATTAAATTTTAATCGTCGGCAGAACGGCACCGGCAGCGACGAAAATCCGCATCGAATTGGTGTATCGAACGCAAACATTTAGGCAGGATAATATAGTATCTAGCCATTTAAAGCAGACAGAAAGCAAGTTCCGGAAGAGCATTGTCTGATGAGGTTAGATAAAATTATGAATAGTAAATAAAATCACAATTTCAATGGTCTAAACTGGCTGGAATATAAATGTGACTTCATCGAAAATTACACTGAAGGTAGTTTCAAGGACGGGTCACTCATTTGACGAGTCCATCTTCTGTTTAAGTTATGTAAATCCCCAAATTCATCCGGTCCACTTGTGCCTGCAAAAATTGTGACTATAGTTTTATAGATATAAATTTGCGTTGGGAAATCCGGATGAAAATAACGAATCGTCGACTAAAAGATAGACCGTAATTCCCAACGAATATAATGTGCCACTCGCCCACTTGGTATATATAATTGTGCCCCATACGCTAGCTGTTTGTTGTACATTAGCTGTTCCGCTACTTATCTGTAAATAAACTGTTTAATTCATATTAAGTCTCCGACCCGATCTATTATCTGGAACTGACCCACTCAAAGAAGTAATTGCTCAGTTAAATCCGATGACATCAGAGTACCTATAAAACTGCAATATGAGATAACACTTTCTTTCTGGGATAACTATGGTAACATTTATCAGACGTTCGGTACCGATGGAAACTTTTCCTTGGAAACAAAGCTGGTTATCGAGCAGCGACACCCGAGGTTCTAATACCTAGTAAAAAGGTCTGAACCACTGATATTGGCGGTGAGTACCTTGTGATTTTGCCGAATTATATGACTGAAATATCTTATTAGAAATAGATGATTATTAAATACGAGGGCCATCAGACTTCGATTATCATACCGCGGACGAAAGGGGAATTCACCGATTCAACTAGACCAGGGTTGTCCAACCTTTTTGGCCGAAGGGGCCACATGTAGTTTACTAATAATTTCCCGGGCCACTCAACATGGCATTATGTTCTAGTTTTGCTACTTCGTCTACGGGTTAATGAAAAAACAAACAATACCCGCACACCAAACTTTCACAATCATTATATCCATAAAACTGTTGTTTCCCAACTATTGATGGGCGCCATCAGTATATATTTACGAAAGTTTCACCAAAGACAAGCCAAGACGCTTGAAGTTTTTCATTACAGTTCCCAACAGACCAATGCCTCTAGTCGTACCCTTAATGAAGACAATGGCTGCGAGCTCTGCAGTGATTTCAAAATCATTATTAACTCCCCGCAAGAAGATCGCCAACTGAGCAGTCCCCCTGATGTCAGTGCTTCCGTCAAGCGCCAAGGAATACGATGACAATTTTCCCGCCTTTGTAATTAAAGAGTTCTCAAGCTCTTCGACATGGCGAGTTATGGTCTGTCTTAACAGGCTATTTTTTCAAACATATCTTTCATTTCCGGACGTGGGTGAGCGAACACGTACTACTTCTTTTATCAATACCTTTCCATCTAAAATCTGTACGTTTCAAAGCTTACTCTAGGTTTTTTTTCGCTTTCCCGATTCTATAATCAGTTACTTTTACTTTTATCTATTTTTTTATCGTCTATTGCTGATTATGGAGTCGAAATAAACTTATATATACGTAAAACATTGGCAACCCGAACAATACATAATATACATTCCCTAACGGGCTTCGATTGTTTTGCGATAACGTAATATATATAGAGTAGTAAAAGACCAAGTGTGTAAGCGGCTATGGCACCTTTATTTATCGATATTCCTCCCAGTTGGCTTCGATTCAAAATGGCACTAATGGAAAGGCTTGTTTGAAAGGGCTGCAGAGCGCATTTCATGAAAATATTCGTTTGTAGGGCCTATCACATCTTTGTATACTAGATCCCTCGAAAAATAGTTTTCTTCAAGTTTTTCATTCAATTCTGAAAAACTCGAAATACTTCCGCGGGCCACGGGTTGGACGACCCTGAACCAGACTATAAACAACAGCATTTGGAACGATTTATTGACTATAGGGTACCATTAGGTGTTCCCATGCACTTGTCCGCTCCTAGTCGAGACATTTATATTCCAGCCAGTTTAGACCATTGAAATTGTGATTTTATTTACTATTCATAATTTTATCTAACCTCATCAGACAATGCTTATCCGGAACTTGCTTTCTGTCTGCTTTAAAGGGCTGGATACTATATTATCCTGCCTAAATGTTTGCGTTCGATACACCAATTCGATGCGGATTTTCGTCGCTGCCGGTGCCGTTCTACCGACGATTAAAATTTAATGACTTTACTTTCCATTTTATCTTGACTGTGGTTATCAAAATGATGAACCGTACCAGTCCTACCAGTGATTTCAAAAAATTTCTCTAAGCATCGGCTTTCTTGTTCATTCCCGCAATACAGACCCTACCAACAAATGATTTGTCTTCCGAGGAGTTTCAGTTCAGGTACAACCATAAAAATTGGAGCCGAAAATACTGCGATAGACTAGATTTCAAATAAAAGGCGAATGAATATTTTGATTCAAAATGAACACCCACTAACAAAATAAGCACCAAAAATTTGCTTAAGTGTAGGAAGACTATTTTAGGGCACAGTGTGTGAAAACTTCCGTTGTTTTTGGTCTTTCCAATGCACTAAGTCGCACATGGAAGACACTGCGCGGCGGTGTGGCTCAACGGGCTAAGCGTCAGGAATACGCTCGCCACCGCACCTCTAATTACTCTGCGTGGGTTCGCAGGTTCGAATCCCATGCAGGGATGGTTATGTGCGAGAGGATTGCTGGACTCCTCGCCGTCGTTGGGTGGTTCACGTAACCGCTGGTCGGTTACGGCTTCCTCCACCACCAAGTCCATGCTTCCGAAAACAAACAATACAGTAAAACTAATCCCATACCCGACTTGGAATGATAACCGGACGAGAGGCCGTGGTTCGCCATATGGATAAGCCGTCTTATCGGCTTTCCTCTCCCCCGGGATAAATATGTAAATCCTATCCTAAGACGAATTTTTGCTGTATATATAGAATCGCAATATTGACTCCACTGTCAATAAATGGGTAGATGACGTTTGTACGCGGCTCCTCGTCAATTGCGGTCGAAATATTGTATGTCTGTAATATTTTTTTCAGTCGATCCAATTATTTATTTTTTGTTCGATTGTACAATATTCCATGCGGGACGGAAATAAATATCTGAATCCATCTAAAACTACACCATTTTTGCCTGAATTCCAAATTTCGATTCTTGTGTTTGTCTACGTTGTTCTCCTTATTCGATAACGATCGTCAAACTCGTTGAGCGGAATCAATTAAAATTTCTCCCGGTCCTGGTTTAACCTATTAATCAGACAGAGAAAGAATTTATTACCGTCACCTGCAGCAAGCCAACAGTATGATTACGCTATTTCATCGTCTTCGAGACCTTCTAAGGAAATATCAATCGAATAAGAGTTGGTGCAAAAGCAGCAGTTTTTGTCCGCCCCATATGAATTTTCTTTACAATGTTATAATTGGAAAGTTTTTCACAGCGAGGCAGATGTGCAATTCATTGCTGTAAATAGATCGACGTTTGACAACGTGAAAGGCAAAAGTATCGGCAGCATCAGCTATTTATTAAAATAATTTCCCTCGCTGATTTACAAGGTTTCTCCTAAGACTGTTTGATTTAGTACAATTACTATCCAAACTTTTGATAACCAGTCTTACTGAACAATTTATTTTTCCGATAATCAGGATGCCCCGCTACTGGCTTATTCGCACCGCTTCTGCTAATATCCTAATAAAAAAAATTGGAACAAATTTTTAGCGTTTTATCTACCAAAGGAGTGCGTGATCCATATTCTGAGCAATCTCATCGTAATTTTCCAGCCTCTCAGGTCTCTGTATATTCATGTTATACAATGTTTATCAGTATTAGAAAAACTAAAATCCATTTATCTTGCGTATCTTACTGTTATACTGACTACGCTAAAGTTGCCCATATTCCTGATTTCCAGTATTGCAGAGTCAATAAAAGGAACTACTATACCAGGCAAAATTATTTCATATTTTTTGCAATTGTTTGTACTTTTTCCTCCACTGATATTTGCGTTAAGTTACATGACTTAAGCAAAATTTCAGACAGTTTCATAATAGTTGGCGATTGTAAACATTTTCGTAAGTGCTGATTTTTGATTGATAAACTGTGAAGAGGAAATAATTTCGATTATTGAAGGGATCATTTTACATTTGTTATTAAAAAAAACGAACTCACAGATTTAAAATTGCGAATGTCATCACTGGCCAAAGTTCCACACTCAACATTACGTTTGTATTCGTGAATCTGAAAAAACAAAATTTATTATGTTGCTCTCGAATTGTATCCAGCTATAAAATTCAACAAGTGCCAAATTACACACCATGCAGGCTGCTACACAATTTCATTTTAAACAGAGTTGCATTGCTAAATAAGCCCATCCCAGGCTTTTGACTGGGATAGGATTTACATATTTATCAGGGGGAGAGGAAAATCGATACGGCGACTTTATCATATGACCCACAGCTTCTCGCCTGGTTACCAGTCCACGGCGGGTATGGAAATAGTTAGCAAGCTATTTGTTTTGGGAGCATGGACTTGATGGTGGAGGAAGTCGTAACCAAACAGAGGTCGCGTAAACCACCCTATGGCAGCAAGGAGTTCAGTGATTCTCTCGCACATAACTATAAAATGGTCTTGGTATCACACTGTTGTTCTATAGTTTCACAGTACAGTATTGGATAGCAGAGAACAACCCTGTGCTATACTATAGTTGTAAATAGAGTATAAAACAGTAGGAGCAAAAACCTGAACGTTTTAAGAAGCTGTCGGCATTCCTGCGTCACATTGGGTAGTGGAGGTGTCAGGTCATCTATTCTAATGTTAAAAATATTTTAAGGTTTTATTAGCTAATAATTCTATCCATGTGTATGAAGCTTACATTATTAGTGATAACAATTAGTTACGCAATCGCAAAATCATGACTGCCACTTTTTTAGAATATTTGGGTAAAAAATACAATCATTCAAATACAGCAATGAATTTGAATAGGTGCAGACGAAATTTTCATCAAATTATTTTAAAAATGAGAAATATAATATGGAATTAAATTTACATTCTCTTGACACGTTCCAAAACAATTTTATGACGAATTATATTTTGATTTTTCGAATCGACAGTTGGGAGAGCTGGATCGATTTTGTCTTCCGTTCCTGAAGTGCTATCCTAAGAAGAGATTTGTAAATCATTTACCGATAAGATTCAATGCATTAAGCTAGTGAGCAGAAATAGTTTATATATAGAATTTAAAAATGTAGACGATAAACGAGAAATCTTTGTTAAACTAATCTTTTACAAACCGTTCTAACAAGTAATGCTATATCTGGTTTTATCAGTAGCAAGTCAGATTGACTCTGATTTTATGATAGTAAAGAATTCGCACCGATTAATTCAATATCTATATCAGTGGTTCTCAAACTTTTTAAGCCGCGCCCCTTTTTAGAATTTGTCAAGTCTCGCGCCCCACCTCAGAGAACAATATAACAATGTTGTATTAAAAAAAACATGTTGAAAATACATGGGCGTAAGTAATGGAAAGTATTGAAATGTAAATATACAAAATAAGGCGGGCAAGATCAAATCTTACAAATATTTTTATTTTTTATTTGAGAATCACCGATCAATATTGTTAAAAGTATTATCAAAATATTGCAGTAACCCAATTATTAATTCTTTACAAAGCATTCTAGTCTTGGATTTGAACTGAATCTTCTTAGACTAACAATTCAGTGAATATTTTATAAAAAGCAATAAAACCCTAATTGTTAAACTTCATATTTATTATTTTCACAGATAACAAACAACCTGTTTTATTTTTTTATGTTGCCTTTCTTTTACATGTAATGATCCTTTATAAAAACTTGAAACTCTGTCCTCAAAATGATCAACTTCATCTTTCAATATTTTGTAATCAGGGACAGGTTTGGATGGTTCTAAAGTAAAAAATTAAACAAGTCTTGTGATATATGAATGCAAATAAAAAGTCTGGTACGCTTTCATCTTTGCAGGCATACCTAAGCGAATAACTTGTGCAAGTTAAAATTTCAAGCGCCCAAATTCGAATAAACATGCCACCATCCAGCGCATTAAAAAAATCTGAAAAACATTCCTATTATGTGGAAAAATAGTGTTTCATTTCATACCCAAAAGTAATCCGAGTATGTTGTCTATAGCAGTGGTCGGCAACCACCGGGCGGCGGCCTTTTGCCGGTCTGCGGAAAGATTACTGCCGGTCCGCAGAGAGGTGACACAAAAACGGACGAGGCCGTAATAAAACCTTCACAATCTAACCACAAACCCTACGACTAAAAAACAGCACCCAACAGTAAACCAGACAAACACACCACCTAGGGTCGGAAAAAATGCGGCCCGCGAGCTAATTTGTTGCGGCCCTTGAACGACCCGACATTTAATAAATAAAACAAACATTAATCCCAATTTTAATATTGTCTCTACACGGATTTATGCGGTGACAAGTGCTGCTGTACGGCGCTTCTTATGTAACAAGTAGCGTCGGTTCTATATCGTTCGAGTTAATTTTGATTTTTAAAATTTGAAAATGTCTGTAAAACGGAGCGACGCGGGTCGACCATTCCAAAGTGCTTGAACGGAAAAATATTTTTCTTTCTTGCGCATTCTAAAACCAGTTTGCTCGATATGCCCAGTCAGCATCGCAGTTGTTAAGGGTTTCAATGTTAAACTCGTTACAAAACGAGTCGTCGAAAATTTGACCCCGACACCCGGGACTGCGCCACAGATCATCTGTGCGACAGTGCAAAACGTGTAATGTGCACGTTCGGAAGAACATATGGCCTTGAGCAGCTTTATCTAAAATGCATTACACTTAGATTAAATTTCGAACTCGCTTGTCAGATCATCATTTGGACGACGAGTTGCCATAAAAACATCATCTTTCACATTGATAATAAGTATATAAAAACAATGTATTATTGGATAATAAAAAAACGCCACATATACATCTCATTGGGACAGACTTTCAACACAGCAATAGAAAGGTAGCAATGCGGATGCGCCATAATTTGAAGTTTAATTATGGTAGCGATTGTTCGAAGGCGGATTGTTACGTGTGTCAATGTCGACCATATCTCGAATATGGGAACAGTTAATGGCCATCAAACAAATACAGACATCACATTAAAAAGTATCACCGTCATTTTTAGTATATTGTCAACATAAATTTCCTAATGCGTATAATTTATTGCATAGGCTTAGTTCGTTAGTATAAAGGTGGTCCGCCAAAAGTTTGATCAAGCTTTACCGGTCCGTCACTTGAAAAAGGTTGCCGACCACTGGTCTATAGTATATGTTCCAAATTGGACCTGAATTATCTCGATTTAAGTTAATTTGTATTTGAATGGAAAGAAATTAAAAACAAAAAGATTCTAACTGGCTTTTCATTTGAGTTACATCTGGACTTATTTCTCAAATTCAGTATTGCATATGTCTAACAACAGGTACCAAATTGAAGCATTGCACTCCCCAGGAAATATAAAGAAAAAGGAACGAACCTTCATGAGAACTTTCACCCAAAATAAGCTTATCTAGTTGTTGCTGCAGTTTATTTTCTCTTTCTAAAATTTCTGTAGAATCAGCTACGCCCTGCAAGTTTAGACAACATGAGTGCACTCCTTGTATAACCATGATTATGGAAATTGTTTTTAATGAAAAAATCTAATTTTCAATGCTATTGCCATCAAATTAATTTTTTGCAATTGTGGCTACTTTTTGAAGAGATGTTCAGAATTATTAATACGAAAAAAATAGATGTGGTCAGGTTGTAATATGGTCGTAAAAGCTTGAAAAGTACATGGCCTACTTGAATTACTAATGCTTAAAATATTGATTCTTGCCTAGTATGTCCCAGATATAATATAGAATATCCACAACAAGTATGACTTGCTTATCAAAGCAGAAGGATAGGATTTACATATTTATCCCCGGGGAGAGAAAGAAGATAAAACGACCTAACCATATGGCGAACCACAGCCTCTCGTCCGGCCACCATTCCATGTCCAGTATGGGATTAGTTAGTTATTTGTTTCCAGAAGCATGGACTTGATGGTGGAGGAAGCCGTAACCGACTAGCGGTTCCGTGAACCACCCAGTATATTGTGGTGACTAGATCATATGACGATATCACACTAAGAAAAACTCCTGAACCATACTAATACAGGAAATCAGAAATGATAGTGTCGCTGACTGTACACTATGTTTGTGTCTTTCTTTCTTTAAATTTTCATTAAGATGGGCAAAAACCAGACATTCCGATCGTTTGGATGATGTGTTTTGAATTAATATATGTACCTGGTTTGCTGCTTCAATGATACCAAGATATTCCTGAGTAGACACTGTCATCCATTGCTGTAATATGTTAAATACTTCATCCGCTATATTTAAAGTTCTCTTTGGATTTTCATCCACCAGTTTTTGTGATTTATGAGGCGATTTTATTCTCTCTTTGTGTTGTGTATAAGTTGTAGGATTCAGAATATTTGAACTCGATTTGACATCCAAAACACTGCCATCTGCAAACATGCATTGATGAATACTATTAAAATAATAAACAAAAATGGTACAACCGTTTTTTACTTTTTTATAATACACTGAAAATCATCATTCTCAAAAATAAATGTACCTCTATAATCTATATACGCAAGATTTCTTCAATGATGACAATTAAATTTAAAGAAGGATGTACAAACAAGACCTTGTTAATCCAAATTGAAGAGCTTGAGACATATACCTTTTATAGGATAAATAAGTATAGGTGGTATAAAGATTGTTAACACCTTCTGTATCTTTGCTATCCAGAGAATCAACTTCTTTTTTTGATATAATATGTGTAAGATGTATTTCTTTTCCTCCTGCTGACTTCACAGTTGAATTATCAATATTTGGAATTGTGATATCTGGCATTCTGAATGTTAATGAGAGAATATTAAGAAATTATAACGGTTCCTGTGACAGAGCCTTGCTCTGAGTGAAGACTATAACACTAAAGTGAAACTATCTAAACAAAAATGACTTTTTGTTCATTTCATGCACAAAACAACTTCCTGATATGGGTTGAAAGAGAATACATTTTCACACAGTTATTGATATCAAATAGATAATAAATAGATAACTTTAAAAACTGAAGTCAAAGGCTCATTCATATTCATGTCACATGTGTGTCATTAAAAATCTGTTATTTTCTTCAATGTAGGCTATTCAATTTAATTCATTTTTTTGTATGCAAGACAGATCATTAGTAACAATATAGGTCTTTGAAATCAATAATTGAAGAATAATCAGAGTTAATTTGATAAGGGATTTTATTCTATTTGCCCGTCTTTAGTTCTGGGACTCCCATTAATGCTAATAAGACTCAACAGAGGTAAACAGGCTTATATATCAATATGTGAAAAAATGTTAGTAAATAATAAGACATTCCACTTACAGGTCATGATTTCTTAGCCATAATGGGGTTGATGATATTTGTTCTAGTATATTGCATGATATTGCGTAACACCGATTGCTACAAAACTTCTTTCTTTCAGTTATATCAAACACTTTGTTCTTGTTTATCTTATATTGCTGCGTTGGAATCTATTGTTATCAAGAAATCAATAAATGCATGGTTAATAACAATTTATTTAACAATGCTTAAAAATAAGCAATTTCAATCAACAAATGACCAACTTTAGCCCCAGACACTGGACGAAATTTTTTCACTCCGCCTATAGGTTGAAGAACTTTCAACAGTTCAGAATGCTTAATAAGCCTAATGCCTTTCAGTCGGAAATTTCAACATTGATTACCATCTCTCGACATCTAAATTTTTTTTAATTTGGCACAGATTCCAGAGTTTTGATATATATATAAGGGCTATTCCAAGTGACACTACAGGACAATTCCAGAAATTTTGCATGTTGTTAAATTCAATATATTTTCACATTTTCAGCTACATGTTTTGTTTCATTGTCCAATCAGTTGCTTTATTGAATATGTAAAAAATTGCACAAAAGTTACACCCAACCTTACTTAGTAGATAAAAAAATATAATAAAATATAGCGTGACACTACAGGACGGCAAATCCACCATGCACTAACAGTACGTTGTGTTGTGCTGTAAATTTTTGCGATGGTACAGTAGGAGCCCATAATATTTTCTGGTGCAGTAGCTGAACTACCCCTCTATGTGTTGCTCAAGTTACTTAATGTAACACTGTAAATCCATGCCAATAATGTGCATATTGTATGTGACACTACAGGACGTGACACTACAGGATATTTTTCCACTTCGAAATAGCGGCATCTATCATCTCTTAAAATTCTGGTAATAAATCGTTAAATGGGTGAAGAAATGTTCTACACCACTGCAAACATTTAAACTTTATTAACTTACATCCAGTGCGTCAATTCCATATGAAATAACTGTACCACACAATCAAACACTTTGTGTCAGGAATCATAACAAAATATGTCAATTATACCAAAATTTCTACATTTCAGGCCATTTTTTAAAAACCATCAACAACCTGGGTGAAATTTTAAATTGTTCGATGAAATGGATGCAGTCCAATAAAATTCCAATGTTTTTTGATATCAAAAATAAAAAAAAATCACCTTCACTACACTTTTTAAAAAATTGATGGAATTCAACTTTTGCTTGGAATGGCCCATAAATATATAACGATCATTACATCATTAGCTCTAATATTTGTTTTCGTTTTCAGGATTTTTTTTACTAAGCAACATCTTTTTCTTTTGATCTATATCCAAAAAAACACTTGCCACTTTTTTCTATATTACCAATAAGAGAACAAGATAAAATAAGGTTCATATGGATAGGAAGAAAAATATCTAAGACCAAAAACAAGAAGCCGAAAAATTACTAGGTCGGGCTTCTAAATTTTGAAGTTTGACACAGGTTAAAATATTTGCTGATGAAAATTATTGATTATTGTGGAGAAGAGCTTTGGTACTTTTAATCCAAAATACCCAGAAATAAAAGAAATCACTGACACACATTGAAGTGTAATAAAATATTTTGAGTTTAATGTACCATGAATATACAAGAAAGCATGCTTAATTTAAACAGAAAATAAAACTAGCAATACACTAACTTCTTTGAGCTTGTTTTTGCATAGACAATAACCGCATAAGTCGGATAATGAACGTTCTTCTACAGCATCTGTATAATGTTGCCCGGTGATCAACTTCAGCTAGTATATATAAACTAATATATATAAACATCTAAAATTATCACCCATCTAAATTATGATTGATTATTAGATAGTATATAAAGTTTTTACATATCATGTTCATAAAAATATTTACCTACCTTACTAATTGAATTTTATTTAAGAATTCAAATTTATCATGTGCAAAAGTATATATTCAGGATGTTGGTATTCACAAGGGTGCGACCCTTATATAACATGGGTGCTTCGCTTTCAGACTATACTGCTATAGGAAATAGATGCTTGACAATTGATAAACAGAAAGCAAAAATAAATCCTTTCCTTTACCTAAACATAGCATCAGCATATTTCCCCTATATCTGCTTGATTAGAGTAGAAACATAAACAAATCTGTAAGAGTTAACGTTATATTAAAGATTTGGAGCAGTTCAAATCAGTACATCTAAAGGATAACAGGTGCTATCATACTGTCATACAAGAGAAATGATTTTTTATTGATAAACTTAAGTTGTGAAATACAGAAATAAGTTCAATTCAAGCATACCCAGGACAAAAACTGATCTTTTTGAACTTTTTCCTCGATGAGTTTTTCTACAATCGAATGTGCTTGTTTTTCTGCTAATTTTCTTTTTTCATATTCTTCTTTTATTGAAGAATGACTGTTAAAATGTATCACAATGAATAATAAATCTTGATAGTAAAAAAATTTTTTAATCAGTATTTCATGCTCTTCACATTTATGAAAAACTAACAATGATGATTTTGGGCGGTTAAACCAGTTTACAATCATCGAATTACATGAACTAGCTTAATATTGCCGTATTGTCAAAATAGAAATGGGTGTTATAAATTTGATCACGAAATCCAACACTGAGCTCACGTTGGATTGTCGATATTTATGAATAAATTTATTCATAATATATATAAATGAATAAAAGCAGTTGAAACTCACCTCGCCATAATAATAATTATAATGATCTTTCTAATCAAGCAGCCAGGAAATCTAAAATGATGGCAATTACGGAGATAAAATGAAATAAAACAAAAAGGGGGATTTCCCTACCTAGGTCAAAGGGTTCGAATTATTTTTTACTATATGGATAGGATAGGATTTACATATTTATCCCGGGGGAGAGGAAAGCCGATAAGACGGCTTATCCATATGGCGAACCACGGCCTCTCGTCCGGTTACCATTCCAAGTCGGGTATGGGATTAGTTTTACTGTATTGTTTGTTTTCGGAAGCATGGACTTGGTAGTAGAGGAAGCCGTAACCGACCAGCGGTTAGTTACGTGAACCACCCAACGACGGCTAGGAGTCCAGCAATCCTCTCGCACAGAACCATCCCTGCATGGGATTCGAACCTGCGAACCCACGCAGAGTAATTAGAGGTGCGGTTGCGAGCGTATTCCTAACGCTTAGCCCGTTGAGCCACACCGTCGTCGTGATTTGCAGGTCTTGTAGTCGTCGTGATTTGCAGGTCTTGTAGTCGTCGTTTTATTGTGGACACAAAATGGACCTATTGATCTTTTTCAAAATTGTTGATTTCACTTAACTACTAATCCTCGCTTCGCTAAGATTTGTTTGCGGGGAATGGTGAACTTCGCGGTACTGGTACCTAGTGTTATAATATAGTGGTGATTCGGAACGCTTGTGTTACTACATTTGTGAATCAGACGTGTCCATATATTTGAGCATGGCTCTCTTGTTTATTTTATTTTTTTTTAAATTCCTGTGGGTTCAATGGGATTCGCTTTTCACTCTGAAGTTTTGTTTGATGCCGTGACCAAAATTTAAAAAAAAATGCGCTCATGTGGCGGTTTTCGCAATTGTATTTCAGCGATTTCGCGCTCAGCCATGTCCGGAATTTGGGGTACGATGAAGGTAGCCTACTTACCGGTATTGCAAAAGATTTGATACTGCAGTTTGAATCATTTGGTATTTCGAACCACGTTGATACTGGACGCATAATTCCAATTTCATTGCATTTATAATATTTTCATGATGACTTATTACTAATACGTGGTATCGCTCTTGCTCAAGTGTTGCTTGTTACTTATCGATTTTAATCGGCAAGTATGTTAATAGGTATTTGTCTGTCTGTCTGTCTGCCTGTTAGATGCACGTGATATCTCACGGAGGCGAGATTGAATCTGCTCCAGATTTTGCATGTGCTTGATTTTGGATGATTTATGTCGTATATTTAGCGAGTTATCAATTAATTAGTGATGGGACACAAGGTGTCATTATGGAGTAAGATCGCTGTTTTGGGATCCCCTAACTTTCGATCGATAAGTCTTCGATCTCTGACCGATATTCTCGTTTTGTTTTATTGTTTTTTGTTGGGTGAGAAATTTGGTTTCATCACATATATTTTCGTTGAGGTTTTAAGTGCATTTCGTTGTCTGTTATTTGGATCAATTCGGACTGAAACCTATGGGCAGGGGATATTCACTTGGCCAACACAGACAGCCCCCGAACTCGTAATAGAACTAAAATAATAAAAAAAATCGAAATCAAATTATGGTCTAACCCTAATCTGGTACACATACTACGGGAGTACCCTATTGTGTACTTATTGACCTCCGAGAATTTCAGATTGGGGTTCACTTTGTTAACGTAGGTATATTATGGATATCCATACCCCTATCAAAAATATAAATCTACAATTTGTCATCTGGGTATTTGTGCTGGTCTTACATTGCAAAAATAAAATGAATCATATTAGTTCTGTTGATATTCCGCATAACATTGTTATTTTTAATTATTTATAATAACTCTCCTCTTATGTATGACCCAGCCTTGAAATTGAATACACTGGAATAGGTTTCAGAGAGTGTTTGGAATAATATAATAATTAAACTTGACCACTCATATTCTTTTATATTATGTTCAAGCTATGGTGTGAACATAGTAAATGAAGTTTTAATATTCTTTTTTGACATCCTTGATTATATATGTATATATACATCGCACGATACTATTCGTTTTATTTTGAATTGGATTTTGAACTTTTTTTATAAAAAAATGAAATTTCTAGAAAAATCTCCATCTTGAAGTGTCATAAACTAACTAAATCTGCATACCACAGCCAATCCTGAAGACTAATAGAATTTCTGAACTTAGTTGTCGTATTTTAATTACATATTGTTTATTTAACTAACAGTCGGGGTTACGTGAAACTAACTACCTTTCCTTGCTCTATGCCTTTGCGCAGATGGATCCGTATGCGTATAACGCAAGGATGCTATAGCAAGAGTGAAAATACCTATTCTATTCAATTCAAGAGTCTTGCTGCACACTTACACAAATATATTTCTGTAACGTTTCGTCTGACCGAGGTCAGACTTCTTCAGACAAGCATTTTACAACTATGACAAGAAACGCAATTGCATGCACATAAATAATGGTATCAAATGTTTGGTCTGTTTCCGATAGAGAAAAATAACTAAGATTGGGAGAGAGCCAGAACAATAGGGAAGCTAGATTTGGATTGTACTCAATAAGTATCCCACAGTGTAGTGAGTAATAATTGAAAAGTAAAGCAAACAATTTCGTGCTGTTTTCCCGTAACTCCGTCTGCGGCGTTGGTTGAGTTCATGTAAGTGTCAAGGCTACAATGTCAGATAATGACTTAAAAGTTGAATAAAAATCAAGTATAAGCGCATAACGGAATATAATGTTCAAATTAACATAAATCAGGAGTTTAACCATCTCTCAAATTCATTCCTAGAGGTTCCAATGTTTTGAATTTGTTGATAAAATAAGGTTCTTTTGTTTGTCGGTATGCTTAATCTCGATACAGTTTTTCTAGTCCGATTACCAAAAAGTCGTTGATAGAATGGCCTAATTGACTGAAATGTTTGCCGACTGCGAGATCTTTGTTCTTTTGGTTAATGCTTCTTCTTACAGGTTATTAGATATATGACGTTTTCCGAATTTCAGGGAAATTCTTGGATTGCTGCTTAATTGAATCCCTGTGATGCTGCTAGTGCTTGTTTAGGTTTCTTTTGAATATTTGCAGGTAGTGCATGATTTCCTGTTGCATTTAAAAAAGCCTGTTTCTACTTCTCTTGGTGATTCCGGTTTCAGCTTGGCCCTAACCAGTTTATCTCGTAATGTCGGGCACTTTCTGTAGGCAATTCTGGGGGGTGCAGGGAAGATGTTTTTCAATCTTTCGTTATTGTCTAGTACAGTGGTTCCCAAACTTTTTTGACCATCGCCCCCCTAAAGTAGTTTATACAACTTCATCGCCCCCCGGCAATACAAAAAAAATGTAAAGTCAGAAACGAATATATTACAGACCAAATAAAAAGACAAATCATAGTTTATAGTGTTTTATGAGATAAATGAGCTTGGTGTTCTTCAGCGAGTTTTTTTTTTATTATATCTAAAATTACCCCGTTTACTGGTGGAAAGGCGATTTCGTCGTTTTGATAGCAATAGTAACACGACTGAAAACCCCTTTTTCACCATATAATAGGTCGTAAATGAAAGAATCCAGGGTTCTATCTCCTCAAAAACCGCCGTGTACACTTGCCTTATGGCATTTCACTTCCTAAATTCACCCCATTTCACATTAAAATAATGAAAACAAAGTTAATTTTCCAAAACTAATAATAATGATTTTCGTACATCTCATTCATTCGTACAGCCTGATGACCTGCACCAAAATCCTCCGGTAAAAACCCTCCCCGATTCCTCATTCTACTACGGCCTCCAGTCTGATCACCGGTCCATATAATTAACCAGTCATTTGTTTTTGGATTCATGAACTCGGATGTGGAAGAAGCCGTGACCGCAAATTTTATGTCGCTCGCAGGACAAAATTCAGGGTTGCTAGTCTTTTGCGGGTCGCATATATATTTTGAAAGTTAAAAACAGAACAGCGCGCGAAAACTGCGACAATTCGTGAACTCAACTCAGTCGTCTTATTAAAAAAATATTACAATGACATTTAATGTGACACTGTCTTGTTGCTGCATCACGCTGGATAGCTTTACGACGCCAAGATGAAAACATTTTCTAAATTGGCATCACTAATCCCAGTCCTTTGCTTGTTCTTTGTGATGTTCAGTTTCAAAAATAATTGTTCGCACAAATATGTACTTCCAAACATCGAAGTGAATATTTTCGCATGATTTGTGAAATTTTGATAAAGATTTTCTTTAAGAAGATACATTCTTACAAAAAGTAAGCAGTGATGAATCTCTCGAATAGAATATGAATTTTTATACTTATTGCTTTGCAATATATTCGAATATTGACTGTGCTATTGAACCCCTGCCCTCGGAATCAACTTCTCTTCCTGTTTCCATTTGTCTAATTATAATTAAATTGTAGGCTCGTTAAACTAGTAGCTAGCTAGCTGTTCAATGGAATTTTTAAGCTATAATAAAATTTAGTTCAAACGTGTCTCACGATAAATTCTGTTACGTAAAAAAATTTAATTTACTCCTCGAGCGTAGATTATAAATAAAAAAAAATGTCATCGTCAAAACCGCCGTTTGGATGTTTCCCCGAGCATAGACTTCCTTGTTTACTTCGTGACATTGGCCAATCAGCAAGATGCAAAAACGTAACAATGTCCCCTTTCGCGTCCGCTCAGGCTCTCAGACACGCTCACTCAGACAGATTTTCAGGAGTGGTCGTGAACATTACCTCATTTTCGCGTTTTTGAATCATATTCGTTAGTTTTTAGTTGCTTTTCGGAAATTTAAATCAAATAAGTCAATGATTACTTTGTCTTCCTATGAGTTTCAGATTAAATACAGAAATCACAAATTAGTGTAGAAATAGCTGTGGTAGACTAGGCTAAAATTCTTCATCGGTACTTTTAAAAAACAGATTGTTGAATGGTGTGTATTAGAATGATAGTTTGAAAAAAAAATACCCCATTTTACAGGCAACAACTCGCGAAACCATTCTTAAAATAAGCACCGAAAATTTTAAAATGGTAAAGTATGGGAAGAATTTTCCGCGGTCAAAGGTCGGGGAAAGGTCCATTCAGTGAATCGTTCCTGGCCAGATTATTTTACTCCGGCCGTATTTTGCCGACCACTGGGATACGCAAACTACCGTACCTTACTGCGAAGACGAGTCCAGCAATCCGTTCGCGTGGGATAATCGCCCACATGATTCAAGCCTGCGAATGCACACAGAGTACAGAATTAAGTGCGCCGAACATAAAACAGGTTTCGCAAAATCGCCCCCCTATCGCCCCCTTGAACTTTTTCGCCCCCCTCTGTATCATTTTCGCCCACTGGGGGGCGATATCGCCCACTTTGGGAATCACTGGTCTAGTATATATTGATATTTTGAGAAAATTTTTCCGAAGTTTGGTTGATTTGGATGGTAATTAGTAACGAACGGCAATAGTGCGCCCCTTCGTTTTGATTTTCGTGTCAATGTATTGGAGTTCCCTTGTGGTACACGAAATGTACATACCGGTATGGATCATTTTGTTACTCTTATTAATCATTCTTTACTTCTTGAGAAAAAAATAGCTATTTTAATTATCTACTGGACCAATTGCTTTGAAATTACCAGTGGATAAACATTGAATTTGTCGCTAGAAGGCTATTTTTTGTGGACTCTATAAGATTAGTTTTGTGTGTGCGATGACGTTATCAAATATAAAAATTGCGCACCCTGTGGCGGTTCCGCGTCTGCCTTCGTTGCTAGCTGGTGGTCAGGCGCAGTGGTGAAGACTGAGGTACCGGTAGTCCTCTGTGAAAGATTGCATACCGGTACTACTTCATTTTGACTTTCGTGTCCATATCCAAGATCTAGCTAGAGCATTGATCGCTTGTTGGACACAAAATGTACATATGAATTTTTTTGTTACTATGTTGTTGTTGTTCTTGCTAATGATTATTTTTATCAATTTGTAAATATGTTGTAAATATCAAATATGTTGCAATACTAAAATTTGAACACATCATTCACGTACGGAAGCACGAAAAAGTTAATATTACTGTGATGGATTCGCAAAAGTACTCGCGCAGTAGTAGTAGCAATAATATTCAGTAATGATATTCAAACTAATTTCAGATTTGCGGTAAGCGATGACTTGATGAAGTCATCAAAATATTGAAAACTATTGCAATTCTAGAAAAATCGTTGTTTTTGACCACTATCGATCCTGGCAATCAGCACATTGTCTCTCCGAAACTATAGGTCAGATTGTAAGTAACTAACGATTAAGAAGTAAATTGAATTTTTAGTGTTTATTGAACATCCAGAAGAAATGATTCGCGGTCATTATATTTTGAAAATAAAATGGATGGGGGTGACTATGGAGAGAAGAGACCCCTGAGAAGAATTACCTCCTGCTCAAACTAAAAACATGGTTTCATAGACGTCGAAAATCAAATAAATAAATCATTATTTGTGTCGTCTGTCGATAATATTAGGTAAACAATCCATACATTGAAACTCAATTTATTATAGATAACTAATAATCTTGAAAACGGCCAAATAAATTCACCAGAAATCTCCCATGAATACTAGCATATATTTTTGTCATCATTTTTAAGATCGCAAACTTCGCACATGTGTCTTGAAGGGATTAACAAAGAATTGCTAGCTCATGTAAATCAAAGGAAAATATAACATTATGTAGGTTGAAAAGTAGCAGTGATATTGCGCAAGTGAAAAAAATGTTGTGGAGTTTTGCCTTGAGTATGCAAGACCATTACATGGTATCCGCAGTTAGCTCGATTGTGTTGTTGTCAATTCAGAATCCGAGACTACCGATAAAACACTGTGAGAAAACGAATTACATTGCTTTTGTCGCAGTGTACTCCTGAAACAAAAAAGAAAATTGTTTTATCATTTAAATCATTGTAGGCCTACAGTTGTTGGTAATAGTGTATTTGCGAAAAATGTAGCACACAGCAAACCTTCCGACATAAAAGTGATCGGCTTCTTCGAGAGTTTCTGTCATTGGCCTATTGATTGTTTCTGGTAGTCGAAAAAACAACGCGCCAGCAATAATTGATAACAACCCAAACATTAAGCTTGGTAACCATAAATGAGATGTTGAAATTACTATGGGCGCAAGAATGCTTCCCAAGCTGGCTGCTACAGTTGACACACCAAGTCCGTTGCTTCTGTAAAATGAAGGCCAAATTAACCACATCCGAAATACATTTAAACTGCGGCTGCGTGGATGAATACACCACATACGGCGAGAGAGAAAGAGAGAGATTTGAATTTTGCCAACCAGAACAAAACAGGCATAACAACAATAAATGAATAAAGCTACAAAAACGCGTTATTCGATATAGAATGGAGGAAGCGATACGACCATGCGGTCATCGAAGGAAAACTGCAAACTCTTGTTAGTATAAAAGCTCTACGCATGAAAGCGTCTGTGTTATGTCCGTGATTTTGTGCAGAATTTTATAATAAACTTTAACATACTTTCATCGCCAACGAATGCCAAAAATAGGATTAAATGGGGCGAAGTAGGACGTAGACAATATCACGATTAATAATGAATAAATGCATATATATATTGCAAAAATAGATGGTACCTTACTACAGTAGGATAAAGTTCTGCCGTGTACATAAAAAGAACGACAACAACAATCCAACTTCCAATATATGCTACAAATGTCAACACTCTGCTAACAGTTTCCAAAGCTAAAATTTGATAAAATGACAATACAAGTTTACAGAATTCATTACATTTACTATTCTTAAATCTATGGTTCTAAAAAGGATTTAGATATTGAAATTTATGCCATATTCGAACCAAAAATATGGACGTGCAAGCGTGCTTTATATATGTTTCTCTGATCCTGATAATTTACCAAGACACTTTGGAAACGATAAAAAAGTTTCATATATATATATATGAATCATCAGAGGCTCAAAAATCAGATAAATGAGTATGAAATGTGTGATACTCAAAGACAATTATAATCTGCAAACGTACATTTGAAGGATTTCAGTAACTTAGCGAAATTTTAGCACCGGTGCACGTACATGGGAAGACACACTAGTTAGAAAATCGGAATATGGAAGGGGTTGTCAAGGGATTGGTTGGACATCCTACATAGAGTACAGTAAAAAGATATGAATTATTTATTTGACATATAAATTACCTGATATGTGATTACCAAAATATATGACAAAAAAATTTCCCAATCCAGAAGATGCCGTCAACAACATTGAACCTCCTAGTAGGTAACGTCGACTTATTCTAAAAATTTTATTATATTTTGCTCATTAATACAACGTGTTATATATATATATATCGCACATGCGATTAGGATGTTTATATATAATGAGCGTCATCATTGAATTTTTAATAAAAAATTGCGTAACTTTGAGGCAGTATCATACCCACAACCCACAGATGTCATTTGCAGCATCTACATTCTACACAGTCGAGGTGAAATATATCGTCCGCGCAATGAGCCATTTGACCCAAGTGATATTTTTCGTGGCATGTGAAATGTTTTGTTAAATTTATCTCTAAGTAAAAGAATATTACTTGAAATTGCTTCTACACTCTTTCAGCGTTGATTTGATATCTCGAAATAAGATTTGAGATTTTGACAGTGGAGATGTAGGTTCAATTTTAGCCAACCCATGCCCAACAAACATGAATAGCGTTAGCGCATAACGGTAATATTACTAATACTCTTGCTTTCATTTGTTTTTATAGTCTATTACTACTTTCTTGTTAAAACGTAACACCACTCGCCACGTTTAAAGTTGGCGCACAAGAGCTTATTTCATAAAACCTCATACCTGTCAACCACGAAGATGAGTAAAATCGAGCAAACCAAAGATATGATTCCGTTCAAAGCATTGTTGAAATATATATCTCCTGCAACATTTCCTACGTTTAAAGAGAGGCCAATCGATGTTAACCATGTCGTAAACCTGATAATTTTATTATTACATTGGAATAAACTTACACGGCATTACTGGCGAATACAGTAGATAATTAAATTTTGTTTATTTGCCAACGGGCATATAAATCCTTTGTTATTGTTGCAACATCTTTTTTTATTTTTTATTTTAATTCCAAGGAATTAGTAATTTTATGGCTTATCTTCAATATCATCTAACATACAAACAGAAAAAACTAAGGAAATTTATACAATAATATTCAATAATTCAAAAATTTGAATAAGTCATAATTCACGAGATGATAAAAATAAAATTACGCACCAACAAATATTTACACAAATAGTGACAAATCGAATTCTTCTTCCTTTGAATAAGTCAAGCGCTGAGTATTTCTCAGTAAATGTCTCTCCTATTTCCTGAAAATAACCGAGCAACAATCAACAATAAAACAACTAGATAGCGATCGGAGACCGCCGATTTATCGATCTAGCGACATGTATCCTTCGCCTTGACTCAATAGCGACACCGCGTGGCACATCACCAATTAAATAATAACTCGCTAATTATACGACATAATTCATCCAAATCAATAGGCTTCTGGTCCCAGATATGATGAATGCATATGCAAAATTTGGTACAGATTCCACCTCGCTTTCGTGAGATATCACGTGTATCTAACAGACAGACAAACAAACAGAAGAATACCTATAGCATAGGCTAGGTAATCAATAACACGTCACATATAAGAAAGTCAAGTCTGTAGACAGGATAAGTCGTGGTGAATGATGTCAGGTGACAAATGTTTTTCAAACATGAAAATATGCATTAGCTTAGACTCGTTGTTTCTCTATTGTGATCAATAAAGCAAAATTGACACCTCAAGATTCTCGCGAAATAATACAACAAACACATTGTTCAAATATAGCCTTTTGATCATTCAAAATATTTTGAGCTGGCAGAAATTTGACCATTGACTTAGCGCAGGCAGAGAAAAGTTGACAAAACTTAAAGTATCGTCAATATCCACGGTCACTGAAGCTTAATCCCGACTATTATTCAATTTAACTGTTCAATTTTTAACAGATTTTTGAATATAATTCGTTATGGAAACATTTAAGATGGATGTTTTTTACCGCATGATGTTTTAGGGCTTTTTAGATGTACACAAACATAGCTTAGAATTAATGGACCAACGATCATATCGCATTCAATTAACCCCTAAATGAGCTTGAATGCTCGAAGAATGTTCAACATCAGCAAATTTTGCAAACGAAGAACATTGTGGTTTACCAAAACTTTCCTAGTTCAAAATCAATCAAGGGTGACATATCGTTGCAGCGCGATAGCAACTTTGCTATACTGGTTGCAATAATTGAGTAAGCCAAAATTCTGACTATCGTTCGGCAGGTTACACTTCAAAAAATCAATAAAAAGAATACTTGCCAAAATTTATACATATTTCATTTAAAGGAAGTACAATTAAACTAAAACAGTTGCATCGGTTTCTCTTTTACTTAACCGGCACGAATGTATTAATGCATTATATTCTTATTTCATGAATAGAAGTTTATAAAATTAGGCCAGGATTGTATCGGCAATTTATTAACAGCAGTCGATAAATCGGATATCGGCCAATGATATTATGCGAAACATTCAGTATGATGTTAAAAATGCAACCTAATTTGATGTTATAACCATTGTGAACTGTTAACATAATAGCTTGATTTTAAGCGTTTTACAGTCACTCACCAGACTACACATAACACCGCGTAAACCGATAAGCCTTTCCCATTCTAAAAATGAATCAGCTTAGATTGGTCAAATCAGTAATCTGCCAATGGACAATAACGCACATTTTTGAAATAGAGTATTTTTTCAAAACTTACTTCGATTGGCATTTCCGCTTTATTCCAAACAGCTTCAGTTATTTCTTTACCGTTGCGTTTAGCAAAATTGATCGCCATTTGTTTACCAATTTCGTCTTGGGATTTTGAAATATGCCAACGTGGCGACTCCGGAATCTGGTAAGATGTATTGCGGACAGAAGATTAATATTGGTTGTTATCCTAACTTATGATACTGGTTTTAAAAGGATACCGTTGGGCTTGAAATTTGCATTCTAAACCAAACGCTATCTTTTCAATACAGTATAGCTAGCAATAGTTGACAAAATAGATTAGATATATTTGAGTATATATATATAAATATATATATGTAAAAGTTGCGATTGGGTTTGAAAATATAAACAAATGTTACAAAAATACTCACAAAATAGCAGAAGATAAGAAATGGCGCTGGAAATAATGATAATGCTAAATAAAAGTATCTCCATTCTCTAATAAAATACGCAAAGAAAGAATTGATCATAATTCCAATTCCGAATGCAGCTTGGCCCATGAGTGACGCTGTGGTATGTTTACGGCCTGTGACTTCCATGACTGAAATATTTTAAGATGCGTTAAAATAATAAAGAACAACGGTATTTGAGTAATATGGAGTTCGCTTTGGTAGATGTGAATGCATTGAAAGCACCCTTCAGTATGTAATCTATTTGTATATTTTGTCTTAGTATATGAGTTTTTGATTAATTGGTCTTCATGAAAAGCTCTAGTATTTTGCTATAATAATATATATTCTGATTTTTTTCCCATTCCCTTAGTGTCAGAATTTTGTACAACTTCGATATTTTTAAATTGGCTCAAATCGCGGCCAGATACAACGATGTGTTTATACTGATAAAAAAAATATATTTAGTTATTTTATTTTTTATTTTAGTTATTAGGTGTTTGCAACGATGTACTTAGTGTTAATGATACACTTTTAGCTCTATATTGCCTCTTTCACATGCAAAATATTCTATACTCACTCACCATACACTTGAGCAACGAAATCTTGTCCATTCGTACAAATCCCAACAAGAAATCGAGTCACGACAAATAGAGGAAACCAAGGAACAACTGAAGAAATTGTTCCGAAAATCATGATACCCATGCAACATAATAGCAAAACAGGCTTTCGTCCGAATCTGTCGAAATTTGTTACATTGCTGATAGTGTTATGGATATCGAAAGTGACATTCTATGCAATTCGTCGAAATTTCATCAGCATGCAGATATCCGCTGATATGCATCAATTTCTACCCATTGATTCATTCCTCTAATTTTGTTTGTCACTCAATTCACAATAAAACTCATTCCCCACCCCCCACAATATTATATAATTGCACGAGTTCTACCTTATCTCAAAACTTTCAGCGATAATATCGATGATGGGCATAGAGACAGAGCATTGTGATATCTAAAACCTTGACGGATCAAGAGTTAAACGTATGTTTGCTCATAAAAATTTTGAGTGTGGCAATATTTGCCATTTATGTTCTGAATTTTTTTTTCTTTCTCAACATTTGTGAACTACTAACAAAATAGCTTGATTTTGAAGCCGTTTACTACAATAAGCAATGAATAGAATATCTGCAAGGAGACTAAACGCCTGATTTTACATTTTAAGTGCAGCATACTCATTTACATTTTACAATGATGCCAGTAAGCTTAGTGGCGAAATGACATGGTGGCAAAAACATTACTACGCACAATGTAAATCGGAGGGGCTGCACTACACTCTTACTCCTGGTTTTGAAAAGTTTGACAATGACTTTCTTCCAGATTGAGGATACCCTATCTAGACTCCAAGACCAGCTCCCGAAACCTCTAGTAACATCTAGTTGAAACTACAAACTTCATTCAATTTACACTCTACGTACGGCAATGAGGCCTCCAAACAAAACTCAATGGAAAAAAATGAATTATATCTTACAAATAATTCCATATTGCTTATACGAGAAATGACCAACGAATGAAATTGACAATTTGTGACTTTTTCATTTCACTAATAATTTTATAAGGTACAGTACTCTCTTCACAATGTTTTATAGACAGGAGTATTGAATATGACAACAAGTGCATACTCAATGGTTGTGGCGTGGCTAATATAAAAAGTTGATTGATTGACTATGACACTATGTCTTTAATTTGACCTAGCAAACCATGGTACGTGACAAGTGTGTTCTAGTAATAGTAGCACAGTTAATTAAAAACGTGTTTGATAATCGATATCCACAAATATATGTAAATAAATCTCACCTGTCCGCTAGAAACCCAACGACAAGTCCTCCAATCATCATCCCCACGAAATATAGCGAGCTCTCCAATGTATTTAAATAATCGCGATCGCATATCAAATGCCACTGAGAATAGGAATGATCCGTGATAGGAAATTCGAATTTGCAGATTTTAAAAATATAAGAAAGTGGTTTGTTTAATAAAGTTTTATTCACCACAATACACATTAATATCCACGTGACTAACTTCAGACGAAATAAATTCATATATTTAATTGCAAGTTTTAGCACCATCTTCTTGGATTTACATGGTATCGATATGGGGCTACTTCCAACATAAAATTTCGTTTTCACAATCGTATTCGGATATTCACAAAATTCAGTTAGGCTAATTACCTCCGATACTGTAGTTTCAACAAAATCGAATCGATCAAATACATGTCCATCAAGACAACGTTCCGTGTTATTTTTAATTATACATTGTATGGCTGAATGGCATTGAGAAAGATTGTATGAGTATCTAAGAAATAAATAGTCTTGTGAGTTGTGATAAACAATTAACACCATAATGAAAATTAAACTAAGAAGAGTTATTGACCTCCACAAGTATGAGAGAGACTTGAAATGATATAGCTTATACATAGTTGTGCGTTACTGTTGTGTTTGAGTAGTATATAGCCTAGTTATCAAATCCCGATTTTTCATTTTAAAAAAAGCGCAGTTGGACACTTTTAATTTCGTCACTGAAATATTCTTATTTGTTCTAAATTAATTAGTAAGGAAATCGTTTTTTTACCATTTGTGGAAAAATACCACAACCATTTACGAATTTGTGGAAAAATACATACAGGGGTGTAAATCTCTGGAATCAAGCACCAGTTTGTGAGTACTTCTACGCATAGCATGTAATGTGCCAGTGCTAAGAAGTCCATCGCATTCTTTTTACTTTACCTGTGACATGTGTCATATTCCGCAGATTTTTCGTCAAAAGGTGTTGTCAGATTAAGAATGTCATTTTCATTCAAATCAGAAAATGTGTGGGGATCATCGATTTGGGGGAAACGACATCTGAAATAACAGATACGAATATTATCTGCTGTACAGTATATATAAGCATTATAAAACATTATACTTACCTGTGCGGTGTTGAATAGGCATAAAATACTGGAGCAAACATATGCATTGAAGTTGAACAAATCAAATAATAAATCATGATGCACAAAACTGCTTGATATCTTCCAAAATTTCCGACATGATCCAATATTACATCGAAGTCAAGCATTTCGATATATAGTCACTGCAATAGTAAAGGTAACTCTGTCAATCTGCTGCTGTTGAATATCGTTAAATTCCACCCTTCCGAGCGGTGAATATCAGCCGTTCACCTTGACCCAGGGTCATAGCGGGGTCCTAACTTGCTAATTGTATGTTCCACATTGTTAACTACACGGTCTCTAGGTTCAAAACAACCTGAAATTGTCATTTCTATAATATTTCGATTCAGCGCTGTAACATACAGGATTTTTCTGTGATGTACCACGCCTGTCTTGGGAATTGTTACTTAAGCGCGCAATAAGTTTGATCTCGTAATACTTTGTTATTGCTACTTTGAATGAGAGACCACGTGATAAATTTGAAGAGAGTAGTCTGGGTTTTATATTTTGATATTTATATACATGCTTGCAATTCAGACAATGTATGTCGGTATACATACATTCATATGATTGTCTTAGTGAGCAGACAGAACGTCATGGTACATCGAAGACATTGCCCACCACCTGCAATTGTGTCACAGAATATATTTACAAAAGAAAATAGTGTTTGCGTTGCAAGTTTGGTATTCTAAACCAGTGGTTTCCAACCTTTTTATCAAGCGACCAAAATTTAAAAAAAAAGTTTTGTGAAATGGCCGTAAATTTTATTTAATTTTTTTTACGCTGTGATACTTCCCACATTACTCTTGACCAGTGGTTCTCAACTTTTTGAGCCGCGCCCCCTTTCTAGAACTTTGTACAAGTCTCGCGCTCCGCCTCAAAATAACTAACTAACAATAATCTACAAATAACAGACAGTAAGGCGAAATGGTTTATTCAAAAAACGTCAGCAATCGTGCGGCGTCGAATTATCAGGGAAAAAACTCAAGGTGCAATTACACGAAAATAAGATTAATTTTTGAAAGCCAAGAGGTCAACTCTTTTTCTTCAACTCGGCCTGATTTTCCTTTGAAATACTAATAAAATCAGCCATGTTCGCTAAACTCGGTTCAGCAGATAGATAAACTGCAGCTCGCAAAATTGCAGCGAGTATTGTCTATCTCTATTGTTGCATAACATGTACGCAACAATAAAGGCAGACACTACATACAGACCGTAAACAACATAGAATATAGATGAAATGAAATTATAGATTCATATGAACAGCATATAAAATAAGAACTTTTAAACATTTATAACGAATATATTATGTAAAATATTTAATCGTATATTAGTATCTGTGACACAATTCTGTTAATTGTTGGGATGCACTTGGCAAATCGCAGCGCCGCCTTTGTGAACCGCTGGACTACGCAACTTTATTCATCGATAAGTCCAATTTGGTCTCGATCCAGAATGCCACTCATGGGCCATGGCTCGTTAGAATAGGCTGGTAGAATGCAATAGGCAAATCGTTTATATCTCATCTTTGTATGTCACAGCACTCCAAAAAATAAAAGATTTTCCACATTTACATTCTCCTTTCAAATTATACCTAAATAGTGTTTTGAGCGAGACTGTATATCAACTGTATCATATCGCCACGCTAATAACCGAATTGCGTACTAAGTCATTTTTGACGATTTTGAGTTTTTTTATAAAATAGGTATTTATGTAATGCTGCGCACCTGTCTGTTAACTCAGATTTTATTTTAAGAATTCCGAAACCCATAAAAATGGAGATTTAGTATGACATGCACAATTGTTTCGTCATAATGAATTATCATTGTTATCGCAGGACTATTGTGACGTCACAAAGGCAAAATAACCTCGGTGAAGTATTTTCGAGTTTTTGCATCTTGGATTCTAGCTTAGCGCGAATTAACTTGAATTTATACTACAGTATAGGAAGACGTGCACTTGTGATATTCACTGACCGAGTCCAATTCACCTTGGTTGGCTTTTATATTGGGTGCATTGCTGTTTTATTCTTTATATTTAATCTTAGTCTTATTTCGGAGGGTGTGCAGAACGTGTTATATTGATGAAATATATATTTTGACACATAAAAAATAATGTAATTCAAATTGCTTAGCTATTTTGGAGATTAGACATTGTAGATACTGAGAATTACATTCGTTTTTGGAATGTTTAGTTTCCAGGACTGGTGCATATAGTGAAGTTGCAAAATTGCGTATGTCCCAAAGTCATAGACACATTTCTGCCTAAGTCACAGTGCGCCATTATGACGTCACTTAACTGCGTCATACAAATTAACTTAAATCCGGCCACTCTCAAAAAATTGAACCAGGGCAAATTATTGACTCTCAATGGCATAACAATATCATTATGAAGTTTTTTACGTTTTTCTCAAAACTGCTAAAAATGACTTACGCAATTCGGTTATTAGCGTGACGATATGCAATATAGATTGACTTTACTTAGTCTGACACGCCACTGCATTTCGAATTTGCAAAGTGGCCCCATAGCGAAAATAATTGCCCAGTTCTGTTCTCGATTGTCCATTAAGTCTCGTTTGAAAGGGTAGTTTCTGTACAATTCACTGAAATAGGCGAATCGTCCGTATCAGTGCACTACTGAGGTACTGCGATACTAATAACTTCTAATCATATCCATTACATTCTACTAACACCCTCACCGTTACCATGAACAATGTTGCTCTTCTTTCACGCTCAATGCTACTATGAGAACTTGATCTTTAAATCACAATAACTTGACTAAACTCATTGCATATTTGGTTAATTCAACTAGTTTTAGTTCACAGTTGGATAATTCTTAATATTATTTTAATCTTATTCGAACATTCATATTAAAAACCAAGCTTAGGTAATAAAAACGCGACAATTAGAGTATTAGACGACCTGTAGACTACAATGACATTACAGTGTAATGCCCTTGGGATACCACTAATTAGAAGGGGTTCATCTAAGACAACCAACAATTGAGTAAAGCACTAATTACTAGGGATGGAACGAGACCGGCATTGCAGAGATTCGGCGAATCCGGTTAATGAGCCAGGGACTCGAATCTTTCAAGTCCGTGACGTCATAATGAAAACTCAGAAAAACACAATTCTAACCATGCTACAGCAACGTGCGCTCAAAAACATACGTCGTATCTCATATTTTTTGCTTAATGGTTCCGGAGGTAGCTGTTGAACCATTTTAGAAGTATATTTTTCCTCCTCTTTTGGCGGTCATTACCATAATACAAACGTGAAGGTTGGTCAATGTGCGCCTTGGTTGTGAACTGGATTTCCAGTCCACCACCTTCCGTTAAATCTGGGCCGTTAAATCTTACCAGTCAATATGAAAAATAGAAAACCTTGACTACAGTGCGTCCCCGTAATTGCATATAGTTCTAGCCGTGAACTTACTATGTCGCGTGCGCAAATGGCTGTGAACTCAAGTCGTCCAATTAGGCAAAAAATTTACAAATGACATTTAATTAATGTGACACTCGTTGTTGCATTACGCTTCATAGCTTTTCGACTTCTGGTGACGCACTGGACGAAACCAAGATTAGAACCTTTTCTAAATGGGCATCACTAATCCTAGTTCTCCGCTTGTTCTTTGTAATGTTTATTTTCAAAAATAATTGTTCGTACGCATATGTACCAGGTATTGATGTGATTTTTTTCGCATGGTTTGTCAAATTTGAATAGAGATTTTCTTCAAGAAATTACTTTTTATAGAAAGGAAACGAGTCACTACGACCCTGATACGATTGGCCGTTACCATGTCTTCATTACTTTCCTAGAAGCAAGATCAAATATGCTCACGATACACTATGTAATTCATCGTAAACATTTATTGCTCACGAATTTAAGCAGCTCTTATTGCTTCTTTGCCGATATTCATGACCGCAGGAAATCAAATTAAAGTCTGTTTGCTAAATACTAGCTTACTGAAACAATTCTGCAATGAAAATGATGAAGTTTTCAAGCGCTTATTACTCCACACCTAACGAAGGTGATTTTCCAAGGAAAACTTGCCTTGACCCCAGATTTTACAGGATTTTACTTGCTTTCTGATATTGTTGTTGGATTCTTGCAAACTTGTGATACGAATCCCGCGAAAGATTTTATAGTAGTAAAAATGGCATCACTTACTTGGTCGACATGATATGTTATAAGTTTAATGAACTGAATTCAACTAGACGAAAATATCTTCATCTCAAGCTTGCAAAAACTCAATATCAGTGGCAGAGTCATAGATATATATCTAATGTTGATGTAGGTAGAGCAAGCATATTCACAAATTACATAATGATATGGAAGTTCGTTCCAACGTTGTACTGTATTTCAATTGGAGCTTCCGGAATGAATAATTGAGCTATTCAGTCATATTTACAAATATGGAATTCCTGATAATTGCAAAGCGATTTTGAACTCAAACCAAAGTTCAGTGTTTCGTATTGATTGTTCAAGTTGAAATAACCTCACATGCGGGGGCGAGTAAAAATTTTTCTGTTTTCCAGAGCTTGCCTTATACCAAAAATGGCAAGAAGTAGCGCATTTGACACAGTCAAAGAAACTTAAGACTGTTTCTGGCTAAAAAGAAGCCGGATATTGATAATCCAGTGGTGTTTTACCAGGCTCTCCCATCTCATTAGACAAATGATAAATGGAAGATAAATTTATTTTGACTAGTCAAGGGGAATTTGGGAAACACTGATTTGAAATATATAACATTGACCACTGTGAGGACTATTTAATAATACACCGTTTATTATTTTAGTACAAATACGCTAAACCTCTTGACCTACAATCGCCCATTAGGTATAAAATCAAAAGTAGGCCATTTCCAGGCCAATGCCAAAACATCTCATCAGCCAGAAACTCCCAGAACCCTGCAGCATGTGGTCCCCTGACGTCATTTCCACTAAGTATTTGTGGTGCAATAACACGATATTCGATTAACTGTTCCATAGCGACAACTGTCGAAAGAACCTAGCTGTTCTACAGAATCGTGGCTGTTACACCCTGGCCCCATTAAAATTTGTGTACACTTCCACTGAATTTTATCACATTCAAACAAATAACAAACACAAAATAAAACGACATCACAAGCATGCAAAAACAGACTTTGTAACAGGTCTTTGAAGAAATGAATAATAGGTCTGGACAAACGACTAACATACCGGTCTGGACACTAACAGAACGAACAAGGCCCTTCTTGCCAAGGGAAGCCTTGATCACTCGATTTAAAAGCCAGGTGATTTATGACAAATTATGGCTCACAATAAGAACAATAATCCTTTTCTAGTTTTTGATACGTATATTTGAAAAAATCCCCTCAATTTTTTTTTTGTTTTTTTAATTTCGATTTTGTAAAAAGGGCGAGATTTCCCCAAACCGCTTTTGCGTGATAAAAAACCGTAAAACTTGCATTAAAACCTAGCCTGGTGTTATATTCTAAGGTTTTCAATACTCCAATGATGTGTTTCTTGTATTCTATGAAAAAGCTCATGAGAAAAGTGATACAAACCTAATTTTAAATAATTAATCAAAATAGAGAATAGAGATCGACGTTACGGTTCAATGAAACGCTTGAATTAAGTTTCAAACAGGTCGAGTTTCTCTCAAAATAGTGGCCGCAGTCAAAATGTTTTGGATCCTATTTCATCTTCTTTTTGTCGCCATGTAGGTATTTTGCTAGTTATTTACCCTTGAACTGAATAAAGAACTAATCGATTAGTTTATTTAAATATTTGTTTGCCCGGACTGAAGTTTACTGTAAGTTACCGGTACGGCATTGCAGTATTGTGTTACCGTAGTGATGACAAATTTGTTCGGTTTGCGGTACCGGTAGCCTACCGGCAGACCGGTGTCTGATATGGATTACCGGTATCTTACTCAACTGACCAATTTGGTGCTGGTTAGTGATGTACTGTGGTACTGGTACCGCACTTTTCTATCTGTGTACTGCAGATTGTCTGAATGTAGTAATGATAAGCTGAAGAAACACTTTTTTGTTTAAAAGGATACCGGTACCTGTATCTACGGTAATTTGTTATATAGGGTGGTGTAGCCAGTCTGCAGACGATTTCATTCAAACCGCTATAAAACAAAAACCAATATTTCTAAACCGTTAATTTTTCCACGGTAAGTGCATTGGCGTTTATTCTACACGCTAAACCTGTAATTAACTTTCTACGATCAGGGGTTAAAGCTATACAAACCACCAAAGTATGACACACGGAAGACGTATTTACGACCAGTGTGCGACCACAAATTTCAAGCCTTGAACATTGTTTCTGCTGCTTCGAGACTAGAGCATACGCAGCCATGAGTGAAAAAATTGGGCTTCTAATTGCATTTCTATCCGTCATATATTTTAAAAAACACGAATATTTCGAACAAAACTCGTCAAATTATAAACAAAGCACCGCATCACAGCAATCAAACAGACAAAAACACGGTGGTCACAAATTGGTCGACAAAGATATTATAGACGTATTGAAAATGCGCACTCCCCTATTCCCCCTCCTTTAAATGTAAAAACGCGAAACTTTAAAGATGGTTAAAAGAAACACAACTCTACCCACCTACCAAGTTTCATCTTTTTATCTCTTATATTTGTATGGATTTTCAAGTATTTCAAAGGGACAACGGGTAGTTGGCGACATAAAAAAATGGTCCGATTTTTTTCTTTGGTCGGGTTTTTGGTCATAACTTTTTTTTTTGTGGCCGCATTTTAGTGTAAGTTTGCAGAGCTACTAGGGATAAGTGGACGATAATGCGTAAGAAATATCGTCGCGGTTCGTTAATTTTTTTTGGCATTAATTTAATCGATGTTAAGTTGATGGTCGCAAATATGTTGTGGCCGCAAAGTGGCTAAGCCACCCTAATGCTTGCAGGCAGTCAGGCTAGTCAAATATTGGCAGCACAGATGCTAAGTGACCTAATTTTTAAATTGCATAGTCAGGTGGGGGTTAGGAATAACATATGCAAAATTCATTGTGCTACACCCACTGGAAGTACTTGTTGTACAAAAGTATACCAGACTCAAATTTTGTTTGGTCATTTTAGTGTTTAGTTATGTTAAATCTATTAGGTTCGAAATCACTCATTACTTTCTGACTTTAGAAGCTCTGACTGATATTTTGATTTTAATTTTGTTCATGCAGCAACTCATATCGTTAATAATAATATTTATTTTGAATATTGTAAGAAAATGTTTTCAAACACCAATTCAAACCGTAAGGCAAGTGGATCGCGACCTGTTTCTGAGAGAACAAAGGGCTCATCTCAAAATCAACAAAACAACATGACAGAAAAGTCTCAGCAAAGAGCGAAATCGAGTCTTTTAGAGCGAGAAGAGGAATATAAAAGGCTCAATGCTGAATTAGAGGCAAAAACCGCAGAATTGGTTCGAGAGGCCGAAGCCATAATGTCAGAACAGGAAAATTTTCTGCGTTCATCACCTAGTCAAACACCTGAGAAAGAAAGCACACAATCGGGAAATTACGGGGAAAGGTTTAAAAATTCACGTCAGTCACCCGATCTCGAATCTTTATCGATTGGCGCAAAGTTTGGTCTGTTGGATCTTATTGGTTCCGACGATGGTAGTAGTGATATAGATGAGAGAAATAGCACTGCTAGAACGTCTTCGCGTAACACAAAAAGTGCTTCTTCAACTAGGAAAACGGTTTCTGCGAGGCAGTCAGATCGTAAAACTATACCCACTTCAGCCCCAAGACCTGCCACACAATCTTCAAAGAAAAGCGGCAGAATATCTCGTAAACAGCCTCGCACAACCACTGCTGACGATGTCGCAATTCCAGACGATTTTGCAACAAAACTTAATCTTGATGATGCTATTTTAAACATCGAAAAAAACATGGGAGAAAATTTTTCTGCTCGAGATATTGATGATGATGATGATATCATGCCATCCGCTGCTGTTGAAATGGGCTCAGAAGCGCAAATTCGTTTCTTAAAAGCGAAACTCCGAGTCATGCAAGAAGAGCTTGAGCGACTTTCACAAGAATGTAGATCTGGAGCTGAAGACAGAAAAAAGATGAGTTTATCGTTAAAAGAAGCAAACGAGGAACAACTCCGATTGCAAAAAACGAATAACGCTCAACAAACACAGATAGAAAAGCACAAACGTCTGTTAGAAGAAGAGAAAAAGAAATCTGACTCTGTAGGTTCCCAAGTTCAAAATTTAAGAAAAGAATTAGATGGATTAAAACGTGAACAGAAACAATCTTCAGTTTCACACAATGCAACTGAAGTTCGTTTAAATCGAGCATTGGAGGATGCGGAGCGATACAAAGCACAATTGCAAAAAGATAAACTTACAAATAAAGAATCATCAGAGCATGATCGTAAAGAGATGGATCGTCTTCGCTCTGACAACAAAAGATTGGAACGATTGAAAAATGACATGAGTACAGTGTTTAAAAAGCAACAAAAATTGATCAGTATTTTGAAAAGACAAATATTACATATTGAAGCTGCTAAATTGTTGTCTTTTACTGAAGAAGAGTTTGTGAAAGCATTGGACTGGGGGAGCAAATGAACCAAACGATTTTGTCTTAAATATTAATGTTAAAGGTATAATCTGATGTACCTGATATTGAGAGATATTCGTACTGTTATGGACCTGTTAAAATCTCTAACCGAAAATATTTCCATGATATTTTACTCACTTTTGCTGGGGATGAGATACTTACTATACAAGCAAGCACCTCGTTATCGTGATCTTTGAGAAAATGGAATCATTCTAATCTGTCATATCATATCAAATTCATTACACTCTGGTTGATGTTACTCTGTTTTAACCTTCCTCCGGCCATTTTGCATGGGTATTTTTAAAATTATTTTTTTTGTCAACCATTAAGCCCTAAAGCTTCACTCATGGCTTTTTAAAAGCGTGTGCTAGAGTTCTATTCAGCAATATATCTTTTAAACACACTTATCTAATATTATTTTTTTTATGCAAAAAATTTTTGAAAATTTCTAATAAAAAACCTTGATCTTGAGAGATTTTGTGTCCAGTAGAGGGTTAACCAGGGTGTAAACCCAAGATTTTTAATTTTAATACCAACAAAGCTAAGTTAGTAATATACTACCTACGAGGCCGTATTATTTGCTGATTTGAATCTTTTTTAGTCTGATGTACTCTTTTTTCAAATTTGTAATTCTAATTATTTGCAACTACTGCTAATTAATTAATTTCAGCAATCAAACTTGTAATTCTGACTATTTGCAATTACCGGTAATTAATTTATTGTTGTAATATGGAATTATTGGAAATGTTCCTATAAGCCGGTTTATTATTATTTTACCTCATTCTGCTGATTGAGTTTATGATTGTCAGCTTTATCGGAATGGTGAATATTAGCCTTTGAAATGCTCCATTGTTAATACCATGTTTAATTGTGGGGTTTTCGTTCGTTTAATAAAGTCTGATACTGACTTACCTATGTTGACATAGGAGAATTGTCTTATTTTATTGTACTCTTTGTTTGATCTATATTTTTTAGAAAGTAGATAAATATGTAACAAAATATTGTATAATATGTCTTTCCCATTACAACTGGAAATTGTTACCACCTGTGATGCAAAGACGAAAAAGTCTTGGAGAAGAGTACAATGGGACGGTACACAATCAGAAAATATAACTTTGCTTGGTCGAAGAACAATTGCACAGCTTAATCTAGTGTCTGGAAAGAAAAAAAGAGTGGATGCATCCATCAGAAAACTTCTAGGAAAAGTTGTGTATATAAATACAAGTACCTCTGGTAATTTTTATATTGTTATCCTCAATACCACATAAGATATTACTTGCCAACTTCAAGCAATACTTAATAAAGTCAAGTGAATGTTCAGATATACAGGCATATTATTAGCAATAATAAGATATTTCATAAATGATAACTAGATAAATGGGCTACTTTTGACGAGGTGTTCAATGTTCATATTACTCCCTCAAAACAAGGCGCTAGTATGTAACTCTTTTGCTTTTGGAAAAAGGAGTCACAGTTAATTAAAACCCTAATTTCGTGGAAACAGAGTTAGAATTTTTATAGTGATAATTGAATTCAAATTTTTTTACTGAAACTTGAAAAAAGAAGTTGGCAAAACGTTTGTAACAGTTTATTGAAGAAGGCTTGTTTACAAGAAAAATGTTATCATTAAAACTTGATTTTCTTGGCAGTAAAGAGTCAAACCTATTTTTAAGTAGGAGGTCTGAATCGATTGTAAATGTTCTCAGACTCCGCAGATTTCTTTTAAAACACCGAATTTTTGGTTCTGCATAATTATATAGCCTTTCTAATTAGGCTGTGTTGGCTGTTGTACATGAAGTTTGAACTATAGGTTTTTAACATGTGGAATCAACTTACGGTAATTACCCCAATGCAATAATAACCATCAGACCATCATTGCTATTTGAAAGCAATAAAATTGACCACGAACAAGCTATGTAGATTGTACATGCATTTTTATTTTTGATATTTCAGGAGAATGTGTCGTGGGGATGCTACAGGATGGACATTTATTTCGATGGAGAAAAGGTACCAGAACAATCACCAACATATTTCCATGTCCTGACTTCACACCGATTATTGGAGAGGGAGACGCCACTAATAAAAGTATGCAATTTTATATGAATTAATTTTTTTGCTATGGAAAGCTATTTTTATTTGAAGATGTGAAAAGTAGTGCATATTTAATGTTTTTATCATATTTATTTTTGCATGTGAAAATTGCGTACGATCGCTTTATATATAATGAGTAAGCGTTTAACAATATCACATTGAAAATAATAAATTATTCAACTTCAAAAAATACTTCAACAACAGTTACATCTTATTATGGAGTTGAATAAACTTACTATAAACATAGTTTGAGCTACAGTGATTTTCAGTAGTAGTCAATACTGAACTAAGAACATTTTCACATAAAAAATAGCGATCATTATAAACGTATTTTGAGAGTTATAGTTTAGTGAAAGCTCCGTTTAATTGTATGTGACATAATTTAAATTTAGTACGATCGTGGAGAGGTAAGTAAGATGCGGTGGTGTTTTTGATTTATGGAAAAAATATTTTTAACTCTATTTGTCAAAAAGGGATATCAATACTTGATGAATATTAAAATTGATTTTTATTTAGTAGTTTGATATTTTTATTCCAGGCATGTCATGCCGACTTGTGCATTGTGCTAAGTGTTAGGAACACGACTGCCAACTACTATTGCATATCTGTTTGCCCTATGGTTTAGCAGTTTTTTCCACTTTCGTCTCTAGGAATGGAATAAAATAAAAATCCTATCCCATTCTAGTTTTGTAAATAAACACGGGGAAAAAAATAAGGTCATTTTGATCATAGCAAATTTTGAAAGCGGTTCAATTTCAATATTCTGATAATTTCGAATGTGGAACTAACTCGCTAAGATATTCTTAAATCTTAAATACATAATCGAGACATTTTAAATTTTTGTTGACATTCTAGGTATAATCAGACGACCTAGACTTTTTATTGGAGATGATGGAAACACCATTTTGTTATTTTCACGACATAGTGGAGTTTATATTTGGAGAAGTGTCGGATTTCACAACAGTGGATGGACAAGAGTAACAATAGGAAATGCTGCGTTTGCATTGTTTTCTGCTAAAGGAGTAACACTAGATGCTGTGTTCTTTAATGATGAGGTATTTGTATTGTGTTGCTGCTTTTGTACTTGCACTGTTCCATCATCATGACTGTGGAGTCGAGAGTTTAGCATGTTTTATTGAATGAAATTAGAGCAGTGGTTCTCAATCTTTTGATACCGTGTTCCCTTTTTAAAATTTGTCAAGTCTCGTGCCCCACCTCAAAAATACCTAGCTAACAATAAGTTACAAATAACAGGTAGTAGGGCGAAAGTCTCTTTTATTCCAAAACACATTATAAATACGTGGATGGAACCTAAATATTTAAAATAAAGAAATGTAAATATCCAAAATAAGGCGGGCAGGATAAACTCTAACAAATATTTCATTTTTATTCAACTTAACTCCCGCTCAAAAAATGCGTCCCACCATTTAAGAACTGCTGTAATAGAATCAAGAGTCATAGTTTTGAACTTCCCAAAGTCGCAAGTTTGAGTTGAAATAGGAATTTTGATTTCTTTGAAGTGGGAGTCAGACTCTCAACTTAGACTTAAACTATCATTTTTGTTAAAATCGGTCTTCACATCTGAAATGCATTCGATGTCTAATAGAAATTAATTGAGAAAGCTTTCAAATGTATAAGTTTTGTGGTAAAATTTAGCCAAAATTGAAAATTACGGTGGTAAAAAATAAAAATTGAACTTCAAAATTGGTCACTAATTGATAAATCTCTTTATCTCTAATTTTTAATAAGATAAATTAAAAGATTTCTTAAATTTAAGACATTCTTAAGTGTTTGTGAAGATTTTGACCATACATGAATCGTTTGCTTTTTTATACTTGACTCTGATAGTGATACTGTTATCCCTAGTGTGTACCCAAAAATTTTGCTCCCATTTTTTTGCTTCCACTCTCAAATCCTACACTTTAAGATTCAATTTGTTTTATATTAAATTTCAGGTAGAAGGATCAACTTGTAATTGCTCGTTTGTTTCGTCATCTGACAACAATCTGACAGTTGGGACATTATCATTAAGACTCAACCAACAGGAATGTCCTGCAACCTATTTTTTGAACAAATATCCATGTGGTGATTTTCATCCACCTTGTATTCCTATACAGTGAGTAGTTTGTTTGTAATTTTGTTTATCTCAATTGAGCACTGATCATCGTTTATTGTCTACTTCGAATTTATCACCGCTTATAAAATGATACCAAGCAAGCATTTGAGGTGATTCTTTTTTGTTATGAAACGTTTTCACACATACACTCTAGACAAGGCTCCTTACAAGATTAACTGATTATGTGAGGAGCCATTCTTATAATAAAGAACCAGAATCTTTCTTGTGTGAAATCGCTTATCTTCTTACACTCCGGATGAGATGGGGGGCATTGAGATTGTACCCACGATAAAAATCAGCAACGCAAACATAGTTTGGTACATTACTTCAAACCATTGGTTCCCAAATTGCAGCCCGTGGGCAAATTACGGCCCACGTAAGGATTTAATATGGCCAGCCGAACTCAAGTTTACCTTTTTGCGTGTCCCCAATTGTTACCTCATTACCACAGTTTAAGCTTGTGTATATTTGTAACATTTCAATTATACCGGTATCTTCATTGTACGTACCGATATTAGCACCGGGCGCTTCACTCTCCCGGCCCGTGAATAGTCCTCCTCGTCTAATTTTGGCTACCGGTCCATCAACTTTGGGAGCCACTGCTCCAAACACAAGGTTTACGATTCTAAGAATCCCTAATTTATTCCAATTAATGAAATTTTTATATATGACATTGCCAGTATGCCTCGCAATCTGACTGGTATTGCAATGGTACAATTCGATGTATAACATTGTTTTGCCATAAATTTCATAAAATTGATGGGGAAAAATGCAATTTTATCTCATTTTTCAAAAACCATTATCTTTTTTTATCGATCGCTAATTCATGCCTATCGCTCTGAACAAAGGCCCTGTGAAAGCAGCCACTGATTATTTACACATCAATACTATTGATTTTGTTATGACTAAATTCATATCATCCTAAATATGTCATTTTTTATTTCATTCATTTGATTTTACAGTGCAAGAAAATCTCTTTTACCTTGCTGGTCAAGAAATGGTAGAATACTTTCTGTAGCAGTGAATCAGAGGATGCCATCAATGACGAAGATTCTTTTAATACAACCTCATACTGGTGCTGTAATAAGTGTCGGATTTACTGATGTTTTGAAAAATGCTGTTGCCATGTAAGTGGTATTGGCTTGTTAGTTGTTACCAGTGTTCCCTCTAAAGTGTGCGCGTGTGCGCGCGCACAGCTTTCAGAGGCCACGCACACACATAGATTTACTGCGCACAGACGTATTTCGATGTAATGTAACAATATTCTCGGTTGGCAGGTTGAGAAAGTTTGTTGTTGGCCCACCCATTACCCGGTTGGAACTCCAAAATTTCCTAATTGGTTTTTGCACAAATATTAGTCATTTCCACAAAAGTGCGCACACACCAAAATTTCTGCGCACACATACTACAAAAAATTAGAGGGAACATTGGTTGTTACTATTGTTTTTCTTTGATAAACAGTCAATTTTTATAGACAGCGGTTCCTAAAAGGGTGTTGAAAATAACTAATATATGATTGAATATTTTACATATTCTATTTATAATAGATGTTTTATTATTTTTTGTTTTAAATGCTGTGCATACTTTCTGTTATGTAGTGTTCTGTTACGATCACAAAATTGATTTTTATTTGAAGGCAGCAATTTTTTTTCGTTTAAATGCGCCGTGAGTTGTTCTCTGATAATTTGGCACTACATGAACAAAAAGTTTGGGCTCATTGAACTACTAGACCAGGCATGGGAAAACTACAGTCTGCCAAAGCATTTTGTCTAGTCCCTTTGCTCTTGTGAAAAGTTGTGGAAATTTCTTACAACTATTTTTTTTAAACTTTATTTAAAATATCTAAATTATGAAATGTTAAAACAATATTTTGGTTTTAATTCATCTGTGATTCAACAATGTCATCCATTATTAAATTCAACACTATCATAGGTAACTACATATACGCTATGGTCTCTTGAAGAAATTGAGTACTTTTCTCCATCTGCCCTTTTGCGAATGAGATCTCCATGAATGCCGCCTTTGCATAAACAACTTTGCTCACCCTGTACTGGACCAATCATTTTCATAATTTCATTAGAAGTTGTTTTTATAACTTAAATATGTTCCCTGGGTTCGATTGGGCTTTTTAAGAAATTGCAGTATCACATGTATTTTTCATCACTCTGGAGAGCATGTTTCCAATGCTAACTGGTAACCCTGTGGCTTTCTCCTCTTTTTTTTAGGAGTTTCTGGATAACATGTATGAGTTGGACATTTGACAATCTTATTCTGGCATGTTCAACAAAACAAGGAGCAGTTCTTCTCGTGTCATCATCCGGAAATATTTTAAGTTTAATGGCTGAAACGTTGACTGAAAATTTTGGTCCTGGTATTTTCTTACCTCTTGAAGGATTAGTTGGATTTCGTAGGTAAGAAAGATTTTTGTGACATAAACTCATTAAAAACATTACGAGTATCTCTAACTTTGAATTTCTATTCATTTAAATCCTGCTCAGCTTTATTTTGTTTGAGTGATGCGAGTTCAAATCCTGCGACTACTGTTTGTATAAGAGTAAAGGGTAAGTTTCGACACATGCCAGTCGATTTGGTCTAGTATATTTGCTGATTCCTTTTTGGTGCCAAATAAATTTTGTCCTAATGGAAAAGATTACAATACAGTACAAATCAGTTATAGGGAACATTAATCTTTGTTTTTGTTTTCAAATATGAGTTCTGAAATTTATTTTCACATTTCCATGTGCCTGTTTGGACTTGTAGTGTTTGTACCAGGTTAGGGTTAGGCCATAATTTTACTCCGGTTTTCCTTATTTTAGTTCCATTACGAGTTAGGGATGTCTGTGTTAGCCAAGTGGATAAACCCCCTGCCCCATTTCAATCCCTTCACACAACTTGATGTAAAGTAGCCGAACCAAATTAGTTACCTCCATATTGATTACACGCACATCTGGAGCATCAAACTTTTCAATATAAGTTCTTGAACTTTTATGTACATGTCTCATTTTCACTGATGTGTTTTATACTTTCAGACCGGCTGTGGAAAACCTCACACGTGATCCTGAAGATTCAACAGATACATCTATGCAATCATCTATTGTTCCAGTAAAGAAAAGAAAACCAAAATTTACAGTTGCTGCTCATCCACAATTACCAATTTTATTATGCAGTGATGGACGAAGCGTTGCCGCTATAAAAATGATAAATGCATCTCAAAAACATGATATTATCGTCTCTAACGTTGCGGAAACCGTTCAACGATTGTATAGAATTATAAATCTTCATCATCTACAGGTAAAACTACAGGGTGGTCGCTAGAAAAACAGAAAATTTGTCAAACCGTCAAACTATTTTTACAAAGAATAACTTTCACAAAGTTGTTTCCTGCCTTCTTCCATGATGTGGGTGTCAAAATAGAACCTAAAATTTATCAAACCGAAACAACCTAGAAACTAGAAAAAAAAATGTATCGAAAAGAAATGAGTAAGCACACATTTTATTAGCGATCTCATCTGACCTTCAAATTTTCTGTTTTTCTAGCGACAACCCTGTATAATTATGTCTTCCTACTATAATTAGTCCGATAGAATGTCCACAATCAAAAAATTTTTTACTACTTTTTTATGAGAATATTTGTTCAAAGCAAGGCCAGTTGCACTCACTCGGAAACAAAGGGTACTGAGCGCTAAGTGAAGTTGCAGACTAGTACAGATGTGCCAAGAGCTAATGAGACTAAATAATTATGCTTTCAAATACACTGATTTACATGAATGAATCTGAATCAGTTTAGATATGATGGCTAAAATTTTTGAAAGTTCAGGTTTTGAAAGTTTAGAACACAATTCATTATGAATTAGGGAAAAAAATATGTTTTTACTTTGTGAAATTTGGTAAGTCCCTTTCAATTCATTATGAATTTGAAAAAAATAATGTTTTTATCTTATGAAATTTGGTAAGCCTCTTAATGTCTTCTACATCAAATTTTCCAGGTTTGATTTTGTCACTTAATATAATTTTTCTTCAAAGCTACTAAGTTATCCCAATGTTATAAACATTCATATTTCTGATGCATAGCCACTGCAATGAAAAATTCTGATTATATTTCACTCAGCCAGCATTCAAATTTTTTTAGGTAAATATTTTGGATCCGCTGTCGTATTTTCTCCCTTCGGAAGCACGGCAAGAGAATATGACAGACAAAGAAATTCGTTGGCGTAAAATTATCAAACTTCGCCATGAGAAAATATATCTTATCAAAGATAAAAATGTTACTGAGAATGCAGGACAAGCTGCTCCTGTTTCATTCATGTAAGATCAATTCAACAACTTCAACTTTCTTTATTGATTTGTATATACAGTACCCCCGAAGTATGCGCACCAAGATGGTGCACAACCTGAACTCAGGTTGTGTACCAGGCTAGGATTCAGGTTGTGCGACATCTTAGTGCGCATACTTCAGGAGTACTGTATATTCCTTATTATTAAAAATGTTTTTAGCCATTTTTCCTGCATGTTCACCCATGGCAGTGGACAAATAGACCTTTTTGATCAAGAAATAATCTACCTTTTATTTCTAATGTTTCCGAACTTTTTCATGTTTGTGATAACAAACATCATAACAATTGAGATTTTTTTTATTCAGAAGGCGTTTTTATGCCTTCACTCTGAAGGAACTACAGTTTTGGGATTCCTGGAGTCTTTCTACTTGGACATTGTTTCCCAAATTTATTACATGCTTAGTGAAGTGTTTACTAGACCTTTTTCATTAATTTTTGCTGTATATTTTCAACTGAAATTTTTGTGTCATAATTGTTTGTGTCGCGAACACAGAAATTTCGCGTGGAATATAGAACCAAGCATGCCAAAGAAAAAAGAAAATGATCCATGATATGCAAACTCCACGCCCAAAAGTTTGCTTTTGATATTTTCACAGACTACAAGATTCTGATCACCCTACCTCTGGTTACACAAACACAGAAGAAAAATCCAATGATGATGTCGATGATAAAGATGAATTACAGTCACTGATGCAAGGTTGATGTTATATTGTATTTATCCTTTTCTATGATTGATTTTAAAATGGAATGGATAGGGATATTTTCAATTTTCTATGACTATATATGATAATATTTTTTTTTTATTTAGACTACATTGTATACATATATCCTCACATATAAGCCGACATCCCAAAACGGTGATTTATAAAAATCTGCATATAAGCCGACCCTAAAAAATACGCTGTTATCGTTAGAACTTAGCATGGTTCAAGTGGTAGCTGTTGGAATTAAGTTGGCATAATGGCATTTCGTTAGAGTGCGATCAGGGTTATGCGCGTATAAGCCGAACCCCCCTAGCTTGTCAACTTTTGAGTTTTGAACTCGACTTATATGCGAGGATATTTGGTATATCCATTTTTGATTGGTTCGGTTCCTCAATAAAAAAATATTCCTCCTCGATTTCAATATTATCAAGTCTGTTAACCTTTTACTAACAATTTTAATTGTTTTTTATCACTAGTTTCCGCTATAAATTTGTTGGCTGAGATTGCAACTTGTCGAACAAAGATATTATCAATTTTGACTTTGATGCTCGTATCCTCCGAAGAAAAACAAAACCAAAACAACGACAATCGAACTCAAATTGATGCTGACGTAAACGATTTTACAGAAAATGAATTAAAGAAAATGTTCATGCTGACGATAAAACTTTATTGTGATATTCTTCTGCAGGTCAGCTGTTTTATTAATAAATTCACCTTAATAATTAATATCAACATGATTATATAAACAATGCTCAATTTACGCAAGCAATGGTGACTGAATGACTAATATAGCTATCGTTAAATTAACCCTCACTCAACTTATATAAATAAACAAGTGGGTCGCCTGGGTTTTGAACCAGAGCTCTATGACCTGCGACATCAACATAAGTCTTAACACCTACCACTTTTCACTGGAAAGTTCACACATTTTGATACGAAAAAAAAGAATGTAAGACATATATTTAATGAAATGTCTGCTTGCATCAATGATAATTTTTCTTGGTACCACCTTTTCATAAAATATTTTTAATTCTGGGTATTGTATAGTTTGCAACTCTTGTGTAAGGACTTAGGACAGAGGCAATTTTTCCGGTGTTAGATTTTACGAAAATCATGCGTGAAAAACATGGAATCGTATGATTATGAAGTAACCGAAAGCGTTACTACAATTTCATTGTTATGTTGGAAATCTCATAATATCAGTGTTACTATATGGTACAAGAACTATTACAGCAGTTTATTACTTACTGAATTAAATTATGAATTTGCTCCCTGAAACGACAGAATTTGCGGCTTGACAGGTCGATGAAAAAACGTGGACAGGTCACTTTATGGCTCACTGGTCAGTGGTTTGTAATCCCTGCCCTACGCCATCATGTCTATCTTCATATTATTAAGTAAAATATTCTCATTCTCAGCTTGAAGATGTTGTAGATTTGCTTCCATATGAACCAAACACAAGTTCTACTACGAGGACAACAAAACCGCTTTCATTACGAGAATTGATTTGTGATGCACCAGTATCTCTCGGACGTGGCATCGTTTCACTTATATTATGGAACGAAATGACACATTCAGAATCTACTTTGATATCGATGATCATTTTTGAAATTGTAAACACGTTACTGATGTCCAGCAGAAAATCTTCAGAAGGATGTTTGGGAAATGAAGATATTGCTCAGAATATACATCGAACTTTTTTGTTTTTGATCAGAAGTGAATCTTTCATGACAAAGAAGTCAAGGTAATTGAATCACTATTGAGTATTCGGGCACTTCAATTAGGCTACTTAAGAGGTATTGGTGTTTGATGTAATGATGTTATATCTAGTACGGTGGTTCCCAAAATTGATTGGTGGTTTCTAGAACGCAAAAAGAAAAAAAAGTGAATTGTTCAACTATTTCACTCAAGTTCGAGGGGCGATATTAAATCGTTGAATGGGCCGTAATTGGCCCGCGGGCCACGGTTTGGGAACCACTCACTGGTCTAGTACATGATTTGATATATATTGTAGAATTTCCTCTAGCGCCTTTCCCAAAACTTTGTGAATGCGTAAAAAATTTGCTATGCGACGGTTTAGTGGTTAAACAGAAGTTTTATTTGAAAATATTACAAAGAGTTAGGTGCTCTTGAAGTTGGTATCTAATCATAGTTTGGATCTATATTTAACAAAGTATTCCAATAAAAAGTGACAAAAGTTTAAGAATCAAAAATATAAGTTTCGCTTTTTCAAAATTGTTCTTACAAAGTTTCTCATTTTTGGGTTAAAGTAATCCAGTGTTAATTTTTCTTCTTATTTGAACGCATAAACAATTATTTAATTCTTGTTCTAAAAAGTATTTTTTTTGACATCTTGAAATTTATTGTCATATATTGTCCTTAAAGTCCCTTTACAGTTTCAATTTTGTTATGAAGTCAGTTCCCAATGCATCTTAGTCAAGTTTTTTTTTTTTCAATCAGTAATTGTTTTACTTATTTTTTCTTCATTTAATACATCTGTGAGGGCCAAAACAATATGGTATCAATAAATTTCCTTTGCAATTTTGAAAAATTGTAAGACATTGTCTAAAGTTTTTATATTTGTTATTCTTATGAAAATACAGGTTTCACTGCAATTCATCTAAATCCGACATCATTTCATCCTTACAATCTGTTGAACATGTCAATATTGATCCCAACCCTGAAAATGAAAATATGGACGTTGCATCAGACCCAGAAGAAAATAATAATGATGTAGAAACTTCAGAAACAACAAATTCATTCTATTTTACATTGTCTTGGAAATTACTGGGTGAACATGTGATGAAATTTCAAATGATGAATCAGAATTCGAAAAATGTAATTTCTTTGTATTTTTATTATGAAAATCTATTCTTGTGTTGTCTGCTTAGATTAGATATGTTTAAAACGAATGTTATTGTCACTATATGAAAGATTGCATTGCAATGGTTATCAAATTATGGTAAACTTCAACAAAACACATGTTAACTACCTTCAATTACTCCTTGTTTGTATGCAGGTTGGAATCCAGTCGTTTTAATCCATTATGTTTTAGTGTATTGCTGGATTCCTTGCTGTCGTAGGGTTGTTTATGTGACCTCTAGCCCTGACATGGGCAAACTACGGCCTGCGGGCCAAATCCGGCCCGTTTGGTGATATAATCCGGCCCTGTAATAGGCTTGTTGGATTATGATCTTAGTCTGTGTAAGTTGTATTTTAGGTTTCTACGGACTTTCATGATATGGGACGTTAACAAAACTTTACCTCTTCTTGCTCACTTGATTTGACGGCATGCTTTTTTCTTTCGCCTTGTGCGATTGTCTTGTGCGGTCACGTGTAACCTTTTTACACTTGCATGGCCATGCAGTCTAGGTGTGCAAAATTTTGGGCCCCTGGTCCAAAAACCCTGCCCACCCCTGTTCTAGCTGGTTGCGGATTTCTCCATCATTTCAATTTCTCCAAGTTTCAAGTCAATGTATCTGAAACAAATAACTGGTCAACTGCTTTCATAATATTATTTATTAGTAACTGGTTTAGAGGCCATATGGATACGATTATGTGTCTTACAAGTTTTCCTATCCCCTGGACAAATATGAAAAATTCTATCCTATATTATGTTGTGCGTAACAATTTCAAAATTTGGCCTTCATTAATGCTTATTCTTATAGGCTTAAAGCAGGAGTGTGTAACCAACCGTTCATACAGGTGGGCCAAATACAAATAACTGGGCGAAACCGCGGGCCATATCTTTATTTAACATAGGCTTTTTAGTTAGGCACAAAAAGTTTTGTTATTGATCTTATGACATGCGTTATTCGCTTCGCACAAGCTCAGGTATAGCAATGCAAAGGGATTGGAATTACTCGCACATACCAGACTAAATTAAATTAAAAACTTGTTTCGTGGGCCGCACACCATTTAAAATTGGCACTTCTTCGCAAGGCGCACAATTTTTCCTTGTTGGCCACATTTGGGTCGCAGGTTGCACACCCATGGCTTAAAGGATGCGCTATCTCACTGTTGATTATCCTTTTTTGTATTCACAAGTCTATTTCTCTGGGACGAGGTTCAGTTCGAAAGGATTTTCGTCCACTTACGTTTCTTATTTATTTTAGGAACTTCCTTTGATTGATGCCATAGTTTCCTATATACAAATACACACTTCAAAACAGCTAGTTCCAATTCCATGCACTGTGAAGGATGACAAAATACTGACAACAAGGAATATTGTTTATATGTGTAACTGCTTGTCAAATTATGATATCTGTAATGCGTTGTCATCTGCGTATGCGATTGTTTCATCTCAGCTTACTAATACAAGTAAATGGACAGGTAAATATATATGACTTATGATGATATATTTATGGATTGTTTTGAAGGCATTTAATTATGCCAAGGCATTTAAGAAATATGTGTTGGATTCACTGTGTTTATAAATAATTAATTTACTATTCCAAATATATTATGAATTGGTGTGGCGCATCTTGCTAAGCGTTAGGAATACGTTCTCCACCGCACCTCCGAATACGCTGCGTGGGTTCGCAGGTTTGAATTCCATATGGAGTTAATCAGGTGCAAGAGGATTGCTGGACTTCTCGCCGTCGTAGGGTGGTTCACGTGCCCGCTGTTTGGTTACGGTTCCTCCATCATCAAGGCCATGCATCTGAAAACAAATAACTGGGTAACAAACTAATCCCATACCAAACATTGACTGGTAACCATGGACTGCTAATTCTATTACGAGTTTGGGGACTGTCTGTGTTAGCCAAGTGAAAATCCCCCTGCCCAATGGCTTCCGTCCCTCTACACAACTTGATGTAAAGTAGGCAACAAAATTAGTTACGGTACCTCATATTGGTACACATACTTCTGAAGCGCTGGAATTGATAGACTTTAAATTTGGAAAGGAATTTTGGAAATTTTTCTATTTTTCGTCAGACTCTAATTGCTCAAAATAATGATATTTCAAATGAAACTATTCTGAATAATTCCTTTGAAATGTTCCTCAGCCAGTGAAATTTCTGTATGACAATAAACTAATCAATAGAATATTTTGCTGCAAAATCGTGCTACCAGAAATTGTAAATTTTACAGAAATGAGTAGTAGTTTATATTAACAAAACGCTAACTAACGCTGTCGCTGACAATCATACTTTTTCAGATGAGAAATGGTCTCCTGTGGAAATGATAGCCCAAGTGATGGCTTCATATTTTTGTGGTTCTGAAGTACTGGTGCCTACTTGTATGACGTCGATATCGAAAGATGTAAAATATGGAGGGGTTTCAAACAGTCATTTTGATCAAGCTGTGAGACTTGAACAAAAGCTCATTATATCTGCTGTCAGGTCAGTACGAAATATACAAAACTCATATTCATATATAAATAGCTAGAAAACAGGTGGCCCATAGACCACAACCCGGCCCACTAAGCCATTTATTGTGGCCCCTGTCAACACTCTGATTTCTCCCTATCATGCATGAAATCAGAATCCAACCGTTTGTTTAAAAAACTATGGAAACATAGAGTGAGAGTGTTTAACTCGAGGGTGTGCAACAAGCGGCCCACGGGCCACAACTCGGCCCTGTCAAGACATTCAGTGTGGCCCTTTGTCAACACTCCGATTTTACCCCATCATTCATAAAATCTGTATCCAACAAGTTGCTCACATGCGTAAAAATACATACTGTTTTTGCTTTTGCGTTAAATATTTCGCTGCTTTGCCCAGTGTCTTTATTACTGCAAGGATGAGCAATAGCCACATTCTCTTCTCTTGCCCTTTTCGCATCGATTACCTAATATTTTTTATATGGCCCGGATATTTTTATGACCCACCGACAAAACATGTTGCACGCACCTTCTTCAACTCAAAAGGGCGAAACTTGTAATAGCTGTCTTTGAAAAATAAAGAAAAACGTCTATTTTGGTTTTTAAATTTTTTTCTCTGGTGCATATTTCTTCAAAGTATGATTAGGTTCCAGCTTAAATACCACTCTTTGTAGTGTTTGCAAATAAAAATTTTTGCGAAATTTTGATCTTTAGTCTTGAAACCCCAATATGTGATGCTGTACAGAATAATATGAAAAGTGTTTTCCGTATTTAAAAAAACATGGAATGGTATTATTTTAACACATAGGATCCCGTTTTTTTGAAGAATAAATTTTTTTTTGATATGAAATATTTTCAAAGCAATTTTAAGGATTTTATAATTTCCTTTTCTTTTGATTTGAAAAATATTGTTTTTTTTTGTTTTCATTCAGAGATCATTCGTTAGATGAATCATGGAACATCAACACTGCAATTTTGCTGTTACTTTCATGTGGTCAGATAAAACAAGCTTCTCTAATCGCTTTTTCTGTCGGCGATTGGAGATCAGCATTAACGCTTTCTGCTCTTCACGAAAAAACGAGCTTTTTTGAGACAGACTTTGCAACAAATTCACTTTATAATGCTGTCTCAAAATCTGACAAAATTGATATTTCTGTCCTATTGAAGAACCGGCTAGCTGATATTTTTTCTATGTTATTTGGTGTTAAAGTTCATTTAGAAGATGACAATTCTCCAGGAATTATTATCAATGATGACGCAAAGTATTTGGGATTAGATCCGACTCTTTACACAAAATGTCTTTCTGATTTTTTTAAAGTGTCCGTAATGGTTGGGGAAAATGTCACATCTTGGTCAACATGTGCCATGCTCGGTGCATTGAAAATGAAATGCACTAATATTATCTCTCTTGTAATTGATAATAATATTCGTCTACCCCACCCACAGTTATATCTACCTCAATCAGTGACGCAAACACTTGGAAACGAAAGTGAAGTCAAAACGAGGATGGAAATTGCTGGAATGTTACGTACTTTACTCACAATGTTACAGTCTATCGGTATTACTCGTGTTGTTGCGCAATGGTATTTAAAGTGGTTAGATCGTGAAACATCATGTGACCATCCACATCATGAATCTGTAAAAAGCAAAAATCTTGAAATTCCGAAAGGATATTCGTTAGCTGATAATGACATGCTGAAAGACGTAATAACTCAAGGATTAGAGTTAAACCTTGTTTCAATGCACGGTGACGCAAGTCATGACGCAATATATATTCTTGCTACAGTTTTCAGAGAAATTTGTGCGATTTTATGGATGTTTCATGTGCGGGATAAACTTGCAGTAGCGCTTCGCAAGTATCAGGAATTGAGAGATAAGCTGTCCTTCCTTCTACAAGATGGCGGCGATTCAAGAGATATAAATGAAATGCAGATAATGATGGAAAAAAGCATCCACGATTGTTTGTTTTGGACCCGTAAAATGATTTCGTTTGCGAAGTTTATGAGGTTCGAAGCAGAAATTGAAGATTTGATTTTATGTTTGGTTACGGAATTACCGTTAAGTGTTGAAACAGCGAATCTTATTGCAGAATTTTTCCACGATGATAATTTTACAACTCCGAAGAATAAACACAAAATGCAAGTTGTTATGGAAAGAATGAGAAAAGTGCAAATTGTTAATAAAAATGATCCGACTACGAAACCGCTGAGCGCTATATTCAACGAGGAACGCCAACGTTTAAAAAGAGTGGCAGCAGCAAAAAAAGATGCATTATCACGTGGAAGCCATTTTTCTTTGCCGAGAACATCTATGACAGATATAATGAAAAGTTTGCCGACCGAGGAAGCAGACTCTCGGACAAACACTCTCACTCGAGATGAGCCATCTCAAATATATGATATGACACCTAATGACCTTTTGAAAACCCTCGACAAATGTTATGCATTCGAATCAGATAATTTATACCATAAATATATTCTTGAATTTCTGGAAATAATTTTGAATAAGTCTCCTCCAAGTAAAACTTTTACTCCAAAAAAAGAAAAGAAATCAAGAATTATTTCAAGGCCGCTAAGTTATCCTCTTGTATTAACGTATCGGAATGAAATTGCGAAAGCTGAATTAGAGATGATACCACCTTACGACGGGCAAAAAGTAACGCCATTAACAATGACAGTTCCGATACCAAAATATGCAGAACCTTCATTAGACTCTGAAGTAGATGAAAGTATCGATACAGTTCAGACATATGCAACCACTGATAGAAGAAAATTAGGAATGACATATTTCAGCGATATAGAAAAAAAGTGTGAAGCGGAAATTTTTGGTCTTAACCATGCAAAAGAAAAATGTGATTTTACATCTGTTTTGAGAGAATTACCACATATGAGGTTGGATGATGCGTCGCCAAGTTTTCGAAAACGTCTCGCAAGACTGATGCCTTATTTTGCTTGGTTAGAACATTGGAGAACGGAAGTTATCAATGTACCACAAAAACATCAGTATTCCTTGCAACAGAAGTCTGGAATGAGAGTTACAATCAGTACAGAACATCTTGTTCATGGTTTTACTGTCGCTGAATTTAGATTCGGAAAAAAGGTCAAATTCAAAACGACAAAGAGAGATGAGTCTGTGACATCAACGCTTGTATCTGAAGAGGTATGATAAATAATTTTAAAATATATTTTTGCAATTCAAACCAAAAATTATGCTCGAAATATTTAGTTTTCGTATGGCAAACCACGGCCTATCCTCCATGCCGGTTTGGGATTAGTTAGCCAGTAATTTGTTTTTATATGCATGAACATAGTGAAGGAAGCCGCAATCGGCCATCGTTTACGTGAACCACCCTACGGCATCGATGAGTCCAGCAATCGTCATGCACATAATAAACTTTGCATGGTATTCGAACCTGCGAACTCAAGTAGGGTAATCAGAGGTAAACACATTGGTGAGCGTATTCCTAGCGCTTAGTAGGGATGGGCCGGGATTCGGATCCGGACTCGGATTCGAGTCGAATCCAGGCATTTTTTGGACTCGGATTCGATTTCGAGTCCACGTCGTTTTTACCGAGTCCATAATCAATTCTGTTTTTACTAATTTACGCCTATGTTTGTACTTTTACCTCTTTAAATCCCACTACATACCTTAACTAGTAAAATTCAAAGTTAGATCTGTAACAATATCCCTCGTGTGCATTATAAACACTCCTAATAAAACGACGACAGATATCCAGATAATATAACGCAAGTTAAAAACTATTGATCGCTTATAACAATGATGTTGCGCCAGTCGCCTTCAAACTATCTATTCTTTTCGGTATACATGTGGTACACAATAAAATATGTGTTAGCGCAATATTTTTGAGTTTTAGATTCGCGTAAAAATGAAACATGCCCTGAATCAACCCAATGGGGAATCTCATCAATACCTCTTTTAAATCGGGTTTATTACGTGCAATCCTTTCGCTAAAAAGGCAATGGAAAGCATGGAGAGTTTTAGAACGTTTAGATGAACTATTAAATTGCAAGCGGATGTACCACAATGTATTGACGACGAGTGGCATTTCTCTACCATATGCGCACGTGACATAGTAAATTCACGGCTAGAAATATCTGGAATTATGGGAAAGCATTGTAGTTAAAAGATTTTTTATTTTTCATATTAACATGTAAGAATATCTGAATAGCCGACCAGAATTGACGCAAGGTGGTGGGCTGGAAATCCAGTTCACAGCCAAGGCGCACATTGGCCCACGTTTACGTTTGTATCATGGCCGCCAAAAAGAGAAAAAGATATTATTAAAATGATTCAACAGCTATCTGCGGAACCATCAGGCAAAAAATATGAGCTACGACGTATATTTGTGAGCGCACGATGCTGTAGCATGGTCAAAAACGTGTTTTTCTGCTTTTCTATTATGACGTCACGGACTCGGCAGATTCGATTCGAGTCCTTGACCTATTACTCGGATTCGTCGAATCTCTGTAATGCCGGACTCGTCCCATCCCTAGCGCTTAGCATGATAAGCCACAACGCCAAGCCAAAAGATTTAAGAAGAGTCTAAGATTAGGAACAATACCTACCGTAATTTATTTAATAGTCATAAAATATGCCAATGTTGCATACATACAGATACCTCCCAGATTCTTGGAGCAATAGATTAGCCTCTGTAATCTCCCACTTGCAATGTGGATATATATAATTGCTATCATGCATCAAGTCCATTCTCCCGAAAAAAAATAATCGGCTAACTAATCCAATACCCGACATGGACTGGTAACTGCACATAGGCCATGGTTATCCATATGATTAAATTGTATTATCAACTTTCTCTCCTCCGGGTAAATATGTTAATCACAATCCTAATTTTGGTTATAGGTGGATGGCCACAGTCAAATTAGTGAGAGTGAGATTTCTGAAATCACTCCAATACCTGAAGAAGAAACTGACATTGGAGAAACCAAACCACACAGTACTTTTGATCAACTATCTCAAGTCGTAGAACAAGATATCAAGGATGAAACTAAATCTGAGAAAGCAATCGAAAAGCAATCTGCTGTGAAAGTTGGTTCAAATTTTAAAGAGTATTTTTTCCATAATTTTTTTTTGGTATTCCCGTAGTGTGTGCACCAGGTTAGGGTTAGGCCATGATTTTCTCAGATTTTTTTTATTTCAGTTCTAGTACGAGTTCGGGAAAGGTTCGTGTTAACCAAGAGAATATACCCCCTGCCCATAGGCTTCCGTCCCTTTACACAACTTGATAGGCGAACAAAATAAGTTATCTCCATATTGGTACATACACTTCTGGAGCGCCTCTTAGTGGTCACCTATAACTTCATTGAGAGATCAATCTCCCATTTTTTTGCATGTGTGGGAATTTCCTCACTTTGTGATATATCGAGATGCGTGATCGACCCCTTGCTGTCACATATGGGTTCATGTAACTCGCCATGAAAGGCTATTCTTCGCCATATGATGCCTTTTTTCTCGTTTGGGTTAAATACAAAAATCTTGCCCAAGGTTTTTTATTTCATTAACTGAAACATCATTCTATAGATTGGAGATGCTCCTGATACTTTGAAAACTGTGACTCCGATTACTGATGTTTCAAAACATAGTGAGAAACAAAAACAACAGGATGAAACAGAACTTGGAATAGAAGATCTGAAAGCACCGGATGTGTCTGCTGGAAACATTCTAAGTAAGATTAAGATGCTTATTTTTGTATTGATAATGCTGTCCTCGTTGAAGAAATTACTAAATTATGATTTCTGGTGATGTCTTTAAGACAGAGGTTCTCAAACTCTTTAAGCCGCGGCCTCTTTCTTGAATTTGTCAAGTATTGTGCCACACTTTAAATATAACTAGCTAATAATAAGCTACAAATATCAGATAGGAAGGCGAAAGTATGTTTTCTTCAAAAAACACATTGAAAACAAGTGGATGGAAAGTAAATATCCAAAATTGTGCGGGCAAATCAACAAATATTTTTATTTTTAATCAACTTCGGGTCCTCTCAAAAAATTGTTTTTGCCCATTTTGTGAGGCGCATCCCACCTTTAGAGAGCCATTGGATGTAAGCATTCAGTGCCTCAATGGCATATATCAAACCTGTTAAGAACCTTTGCCAATATGCAAACTACTCCTATTTATGTTGTTGATCAGAGTAACTGATAGCTATCAGTAACTATTTTTTTTTTCTATACCATTGTTAATCTATTGAAAAATTGGAATGTATAGGTAAAACCTCAATGCTGCTTTTTATCATTTATTCAATACAATTTTTTTGCAGGAAAGATGGGGCAAAAAGAACCTTCCGAGGTGAGTATGACGAGTCTAACGAGTAAAAAGATATTCTAGCAATTGTAGATTTTTTAAAATCAAAGATAACAAAATTTCAAATATTATTTTAAAACAAATTCGTATGAAGTGTTTCTTCGGAGGAAATAATTGAAATCTCTGTCACTTTGAACAATGAGTCGTGTAGGAAGCAACACAAATAATATAATCTCGATCAGTGGTCACCATGGCTGGTCGGGGGCCACCATGCCAGACGCAAAACTGATTTTACTTTTCCTACTAGAAAACTACCCCTTTTTTCTAATTCTATTGCTTGAGTTCTAAAAGCGTCCGAAAAGGGGCCGCAAGCCCTTGTTCGAAACCACTGATTTAGATGGTTAATTAGAATCCAAAAATATATAAATTGAGGTACCGGTATATCTAGATTTGTTAGCATAGATATAAAATTATATCAGAGATATAAAATTATATCTATGACTGTCAAGCTATGTAACTTTAATATTATATACTTCTAATATTAATATGAATCCGAGAGTTTCATTATTTTTCTCTCATTTTTAAACCAGCATAGCTTACATTTTCAATTTATTTCTAAGTTGACCATATTAATAGTGAATTATACCTTGCAATCATCACAAATGCTTATGATTTTGTAATAAAAATTTGTTGAAAAAAAAATGTCATTTTGGAATTTTTCTCAATTTTTTTGCAGGAAATTGCACATGAAATAGTCAGTAAAGCTGAATCTGTTACTGGAGTTGCTTCGCATTCTGTTGTTTCTGTCTCAAGCACTGGTGAGTGTTCATTACTAATACTATAGTTTTGTAATACGGTCTGTGGTAATATTAGCCATGAAGTGGCTCTTTAATATTGATTGTGATTTATTCACTGTTAAATTTGTTTTATATGACACGCACCTAAAATAATTCGATTCTAATTAATTAACGTGTCCCCAGTGGATACCAGTAAAACAAAATTTATTTTATTATTTAATATACCACAATAATATGTTTACATTGCAAAATACAGTAGGGAGATTATACTAAATGGATCGGTGGCCAGCGGATTGTACCAAGCGATGATAATACGCTTGCCTATCACACCTCTATTTACCCCGTACAGGAAGGGAAAATTATATGTGAGAGGATTGCTCGACTCCTCCTGTTGTAGGGTAGTTCACATAACTAATGGTTGGTTGCGGTTTCCTTCCCCGACCCCCTGGGACAAATAGGAAAATCCTATGGTATCTACGTTCTTTAAACTTATTTCGTAACAAAAATTGACTAAGATAGTAAAGTCAAGGAATTCAAAAGGTTTTGAATCATTGCGGTTGCGTAGTATCAACCTTACAATATGGTATTATTACAGTCAGGCGCGCAGCCAGAATTTTTAAAAGGGGGGGGTTTCAAAATCGGAAATTACTAATGCCGTCTGTTACTGTCACCGCGATCACGTGCTCGTTAATAGAGCCGCCTTTTCAGCTTCTATCGCGTAAAATATTCAATTCATGACAACTACGTATTCTAAAATGTCCTTACGTATATATTGATTTTATTGTCCCCAACGCAACTCGCGGTCTCGACTTTCTACGTCAAAATAAAAACATTACTGCCGTGGACATAAAACAATGAGATAAACTGCCTGATATATTTAATTTTGATACGTATTTTTACAATCTTGTGACCTCGTTATCGCCGTTAGTAAAATCTCGATATCTGATATAAAATCACGTTTAGTACAATTTTACTTCATACAATGAAAATAGATATAAAGTATACCAGTAAATCAAAAATACAAATTCACCGCCTCGAAATCCACGCCGAACAGTCGCCGCGATTACGTCACTTGTTAAAAGAGCCGACTTTTCTAAAGAAAAATGATTTTTCTCTTGCGCAAGGTAACCAATCCATGACCGATAAGGGCATATTTAAAATGTCCTGCTTTAATAATTTAATTGTCTTCAATTTAACCTGCGGTTGCGCCGACAAAACAAGAGCCACTCTAAAACAATGTGTGGTGAACTGCCCTATTATATATTGTTTTGATCCGTATTTTTTCTATTTTGCGAATTCGACAAATTTGAGATGTGCTTGTAACATTGACTCCGTTCAATCGCAATGCTGCCACTCCGATTATTTTTAAAGATAAAAGCTTTCGAAAAATCCGTAAATCTGCTGTAAATTCTCATGGAGTAAAATTTATTTGAGTAGAATAAAAATTGATGGATATACTTCAGATTAATTATCTTATATATCATCACTAACAGGGAAAAAAATCGCGTTTTCAACCTTGTTTAAGGATAACACTAAAATTTTCGACGACAATTTTAAAGTAATGGATCCCACCCACAATTAACCGTGTTTCGATTTTAATGGCGGTATGTTCCTAAACAGCGAGGAAACATAATGTGTGCCATGGGCACACGAAATTTTGCGATTTTCAAAAGCGTTTTTAGACTAGAAAAGCGTTTTTAGACTGTCGCGGGACTCAACAAATCTTATAGCCTATTGTTCACAGTTTTGTTTTCAGTATTTTATATTGTCGATTTTCAGTCAAATTTAGATCGCTGGTTTACTCCTTCATTTGTCTTTAGAACCTCGCCGCCGATGATCGTATAATAACTCTCACCGAATTCACAATTCCTTGCAAAGTACAAAAATAAAATAATCATCATGTTTATCGTGGCACAAATTTGTGAGTTAGAGAGAATAAATATCGACGTAAAGGCGATTACGGCCTAAATAACACACTGATGAAAACAATCGGCGATTTTAGCAGAAGGCAATTGCACGCTTTTTCAGTTTTCACAATTCCGTGCGGGTACAAAAATAAAATAATTATAATTGTTCCCGTGGCACAAATTTGTGATTCAGAGAGAATAAATATCAACGAGAAGGCGTTTGCGGCCTGAATAACACGCCGCCTTGATGAAAACATACGGCGATTTTAGCAGAAAGCAGTTGCACGCGTTATCGGCGACTTTTTCTGTTTTCAAAAAAATTCAAAAGGGGGGGTTTCGACCCGGAAACCCCCCCTTGGCTGCGCCACTGATTACAGTACAGTATGGTATTATTCCATTATACTAAAATATTTCAAAATTTCAACAATGTCCATTTACATATCTGCTGTATCTTATTTATACTCTGTATAGAGCTTTGAGAGAGATCTCTGAGTTTTCATAAAGTCCTGTTGGAATTATAAAATATTGTTATAAAGTCAGTTCTCAATATATTTTGATTGTTTATTTCAGTTTTTCATATAATTCAATACACTTTATAAACAGCACACTGTATAATTCAATATTACTGTTATTTAGAAATCATTTTAATTATTCTATTTAATATTGTTTTGTTATGTATATAATATGATTCCATTATAATGAATTTCTTTTCAATTCGTGAAAAGAATTTTTATCATAATATTATCTAATTTAGGTTTGCAATCTGATATTATGCCCGATGGCGGCGGGAAATTCAGAGGCTCCAGACTGACAAAGAAAAAAGATCTAGAAAAACTGGAATTACAACATTTAATACGAAACGAAATGCAAAGTGTTATGGTCGGACATCAAGTTTTCATTCTAGCTCAAATCTTACAATCTATTGCATTGCACGTCAGTACGAATCAAAGTCACATGACGCCAACACCTACACCTCAACAACATATCCCATTACAACAACAACAACAATCCCCTCCGCAGAAGCTGCGGAAAAACGACGGAAGATTACAAATGTTAACGTTAGACGGACAATCATCATACGTGTTCCCAGATCCAAAACCAACACAACGACAGTCGCGACAATCTCGCGCTCCTCTCAAAATTTTATCTGAAAATAGATCATTACTTATGTCACACACAAGATACCTTCATGACGAATCCAATAATGTTACTAACGTTCACCCATCAGGAAAAAGTGCTTCGCAAGTTCCACCCCCTGTACCAGTTATGTATGATGAAAGAAAAGTTCCACATTATGGTACCATCAACCAAACCAAACCCGTTTCTGCTCCACAAGAAAAACCCAAAAAAGCAAAATTTGAATCGTCCGTCTTGACAGCAGATATGCTTGAATCGAAACAACCTACTCATGAACAACAATCAGTCGAAAAAGGGGCGTGTCCAACTTGCCACTCCCATTCTGAACCGAAGCAGCAAACTTCTAGGTTACCATTACTCCAACTAGCAGGTATCAGAGGAGCAAGATCTAAGGCATCATCTGCACCTGGTATGCCTGAATTACCTCAACTGGTTGGATTGAGACAGTTATTGAGATATGAACAGAAAAGAATGGAAAAAACACAATTACAATCTCAAGTAAATATATATTTTGTATACAATATTTATTCCCCGCTTTCGCTTTGAACAAGGCCTTGTACAAGCAGCCACTGCTAGGAGGCAAGGAGCTACAATTTTTTTGGAAAGGCAGGAATCTTTCTGGTTCAGCGTTGGCTACCAAATTTAAAACATCCCTGATGAGGTGACATGCATGGGATTTGAACCATAGATTTAATTGGCCAACACGGCGTAAGTACTTTAGTTAGCGTGACACATTCATTTTTGCAAATGTTATTCCTAACCCCCAGTTGATTACGCCATTCAAAAATTATGTCACTACGACGTCACAGTAGCGTAATAAGGTCCTCCAAACTATACTAACTGTCATCCAAGACGTGCAGACGATCACCCAAAATCAAGCATGCTATTTCTCTCGTTTTCTAGTCGTAACGATCCCGATTTGAGAGAGATCACTGGCGTTAGTGAGTTCATTATCGTTGGCCAAGATGCCATTTAGGGCGATTGTAGCTATACTTTGGCAAGCTCCTTGATGTGATTGTGAGGTCGTAGTGACGTAATCTTTGGATGACGGAGCCAGGTGGGGTTAGAAATAACATATGCAAAAATGGTTGCGCCACGCCAAATAGAAGTACTTTCGTTGTTTAGTGAACATGCGCCTTTTAATCTGCAGTTATGTCATAGTTAAGTCTGATGTGTAAGTATTAAAAGATCTGATTATTATCACTTAGATAACTAAACAAGTAATTATTTGGCTTTCATCTATTTACACATCAGAATATAAAATTATTTGTCAAAATATTATATAAAATAGTGTCTAGCAATGTTTTTCGTGAAAAAATACCATTTTAAAAGAGATTTATATGGTTAGTATGTACTGTGAATGTATTGTGTTATTATCCTTATATATGACATACTCTGTGCTACCCCAAAAAATACAGAATCCAGGTCCTTTGGAACATATTACAAAGTGAGCTTAACTTTTGTACAAAGAGTCCTAGATTATTCAAACTTTTGGGCACAATCATACACAAACAGAATTTGAATGAATTTTTTGGGGTCTTCTCGTTTTTTTTTTTTTTCGATTGAAAACCAAATATTATGTTTTGGTGGTAATGTATTATTCAACAACATAGACTGTTTTTTTAGTTTTATATTCATGATATTATAATAGCTAGGTAGATGATTTTTTTGATTAAATTATTTCAGTTAATACTGAAGCAATAAATAGTTGAATACATGCATATTTTGCTAATGAAATTGATAAAATAATTCTGAATTACGACTGCGGATATAAATATTTATATACTACTGTATAGTCTCTATTTTTACTATTAAAATTGCTGTATATTTAACATGCATTTACCTATGTTTAGAGTGTGAGAAACATTCCACAACTTCCTTTGCTTGATGCCACAAAAATACCTGGTTTTTATCAACTGAAACCGAAAATTCGTGAAATTCCTGTTTTCAAACCCACAAATATGCAGCAACAAAGAGTTCATTTCAAAGAACCAGAAGCTCAAAATAAAACTGTGGAAAGACTGCGAGAGAGTGGAGTTCCTCCAGAAGGTAGCTTGTTTTATACTACCTTGATATAGACTTTTATTCAGAATGGAAATGCTTTTGGCAGAAGGGCTTGGCTTTTTAAGGCATGGTTTTGCGGCTATGCTAATGTTGAAAAAATTCTAAGTTCTCTGTTTTTTCTACTCTGTATTAATCATTATGAAAACAAAATTGAAAGTTCCACTTTATTAATGCTAAATTACGAGAAAAAAAACTTTTATAATATAATGATATTCAATCACTGCAATACATTCATAGATCAAGAAGATTCTCATGAAACACCTCGATTAAAAATACCGAGTGAGTTACTACCTCGAGTGTTATCTCAAGAAGAGGCTGATAAAATAAGAAATGGAGTGCTAGCTCATTACAAAATCGTGGCTGATCAACAAAAGGTAAATAATATGTTTATCGTTAATTTATATTTGGTGAATTGATTTCTCTTGAATTTAGATAGGTAGTAGGGATTTGAACACGAGATGTGTCATCTGCGACAACACAGTTAAGTCTAGCACTTTAACAGTTAGCCCACTCGTCGCCATTCTTCTTAAATCAATGCTCAAGATGTTCAATATATTGATTATTAAAAATACTCATCAGCATTAGTGATATCAAATCAGTTTATATAGGGTGACGCTCAAAAAACAGAACCCATAAATTTCTTTATTATTTCAACGAAGATGAAACACTCGAATCCCTGAATTTTCGTTAACCAGGTTAGGGTTAGGCCATAATTTTATTCTGATTTTCTTTATTTTTGTTCTATTACAAGTTCGGGGAGTGTCTGTGTTAGCCAAGTGACAATACCCCCTGCCAATAGGTTCCAGTTCCTTTACACAACTTGTTGTAAAGTCGGCAAACAAAATTAGTCACCTCTATATTGGTACATACACTTCTGGAGTGCCGTGTTTTGTTTTTTTAGTCATCTGTATTTTAGCAAAATTATGGCATACTTAATTCTTGAATCCGCACATTCCAACAAAATTCAAAAATTACGTTTTTGATTATTTATTCACTTTCTCACAGGCAATGTTGCGAGAAGCTGGGCAACAAACGGTGGAGATACAAGAAAAACCGGATAAATTTCCTCAACATCTCGCAGAAGAACCATATCAATATCAAGAACCTATTCGGTAGACTTTTTAATTGATAAGTTGATTGGAATAATTTTTATTTTATATGGAATACTTCAGGAAAAGCATTTCTGTTTGACATTGCCTGTCTATATTAAATAATATTCAATACTAAATATATCATTATTAATATTATCAACTTCCCATTTCCCTAGAATAAATATTAAAATCCTATCTCTTTCTATTATGTTTTTTCAGTCTGCCGAAGAAACATAAAATTGACAAGTATGAGATGCACGAAGACTTTGCTCAGAGATTCCTAAGTGTAGAAGAGAGAGAAAGATCTACTGCTAGCTCCATTAATACAACGAGTGACAAAATCAGAGCAGAGAAAGTTGCAAGAATTCAAGGTCCAGATAAAGATCAGGTTAGTATATTTTTTAGTAAATTAGTTCTAGGAATCAATCTTATTTGTAGCATTGGACAGAACTAAAGGTCTTGAATTCCATGCCCACTTACTCTAACTGGATGTAATAAATTGTGTAGGCCAAATTGGATAGATTCCACATTTCTCAAAAATTAAAGCTATTCACATATTTGTAGATACTGGGTAGGTAGTATGCGCAACAAGATGGAGGACACCTAAACATACCGTGTTTCCCAGAAAATGAGACCTACCCTGAATTTTAAAAATGATTTTAATATACCGGGGCAAGAAATCTCTCCTACACATTTTAATGGATTGATAATAATCTATGTTTTGCAGTTATTTTGAATAAAAATGTGGTATTTATAAGTAGTTGGATATCGGTTTTCACATTTGTATATTTGAAAATCTCGGTAATTTTTTACTTTGTAATTTTGTTTTTGATAAATGGAAATATAAGACATCCCCCGAAAATAACCCCTAGTGTTATTTTTCGGAAGAAAATTGAAATAAGACCCAGTCTTATTTTGGGGGAAACACGGTAGTATCTGTACCAGGTTAGGGTTAGGCCATTATTTTATTCCACTTTCCATTATTTTAGTTCTATTAAGTAGTTCGGGGACTAGCCAAGTGACTCCGTAGTATTCGTACCTGAAATTATGGCCTAACCCTAACCTGATGCACATACTACGTTCCGGTGTCCGCCACCTTTTTGCACATACTACCTGTTAGTGCATGCTTGTACAAAGCCTTATTTAAAGTGAGTATGTGAAACTGCTTCATAACCTCGTCACCCTAGACTGGTAACCAGATGACAGGTCATGGTTTATCGGATCATCTTTTTGCCTTTCCTCTCTTCTAAGATGAGTAGGATAACTCATGTCTGTGTATGTATAAATTTTTCAGCAGAATTAGATACAGGTGAACTCGTTTAAGTTTCATCACCCAAATAATTCACAAATTACCTTCCTAGATATGTGTCTAGTTGATTATATACAAGATGTTCATAAAGCCCTGTATTGAATTAGGTGAAAGAAGTACTTGGTGGCCATATAAGGATGTATTTAACTAAGTAAATAAACTTGAATTAACACATATTAAAATAAAACAAACCTGGTTAGGATATATTGAGAACTGAATTTTGATTGTGATGGGACTTTATTACCACTTTGTATATTTTGACACATAAACTCATATATCAATGAAAAAAATACAATAAATCATTTCGAGATTCAGTCTCAATTACCCTTTATAGGTATATATACCTGTAATTTATATGGTCAAGAACAAAATAGTAATTAATAAAATCTTTGATTCGAATAAATAAATAATTAATTTATTAATTAATTGAGGAAAATGAATTTAAATAATTAAATATAAGATAATTAATTAATTAAAATGATTAAATTATTATTTAAAATTATTTATCTTATCTTTAATCATTGAAATCCATTTTTCTTTATCCTACATACTCAAAATAAATGTTGGAACCTGACTTTGCAGTGTTTCAAATGATTTTAATTAGTATATTTCATTTATTATGTGAAATATTTCAATACATAAAGATGCCTCAAAACATGAATGGCCTTTAGCATAACTCATTAAATGCAATTAATCAGGATTATATATATTGGTGGAGATTATATTGATATTGATAAATTTTAGGAAAATTTTAATTTGGTATGAAAAATATTATTAAAGTCCTTAATAAATACTGAGTTTATTTCCAAAATTATAAGTTGTGTAAAGGGACTGAAAGCTATGGGCAGGGGGTATATTCACTTGGCTGAAACAGACAGTCCCCAAACTCGTAATATAACTAAAATAAGCAAAATTGGAATAAAATTAACTCTAACCTGGTTGTTCTTTAGTAGATATTTAAGTGTTAATTACTGGAAGTTTAGTCAATGAAGCGGCAATTAGACAAGTACTTTGCCTGAAATTTTGAGATTTTAACATTGCTTTACCGATTTACGTAATTGCACCTCAAAGTTTAAAATTATAGGGCTGAGTAAAGAGTATTGTTATTCTGAAATTCATTGTTTATCTATTTCGAAATTTCTCTCTTGTGTAGTGAGTATGTCATATTTCCAAAAAATGAATGATTAATAATATATGTATCTTAAATAATATATGTTCTAGAAATGTAAAATTTTGGAAACTTTTGTTATCATGCCCTTCTTTGTTAGAATGGGTAGGTTTTCTAAGTAAGAATGGCCAATACCAAATCATATTTTTGAATATGGAATATCGAACAAATTATTTAGCAAAGAATACGTAGAAATAAATGTATGGATTTGAATTTGAAAGTGCAGGAAACTTAAGTGAAATAAAGGTTAAATTCGTTCCATATTTTTATAGTTTTTGGAAATTTATTGAAGGCATTTTCGTTGATACTGTGAGTCATCAGTTGCTCAAAATAATAAGCCTTCAAATTAAAAGTATTTTAAATGATTCCTTAGTATTAAAATATTGAATATAATTAATTCCAAAGTAATTAGATCAGTGTTTCTCAAACGGTGGGGCTTGCCCCACTAGGGAAGTAAACAATTTTTAAGGGGCGTGAAGCTAATTGAAAATAAAAGTATTTGTTGTATTTTATCTTGTGTTTTATTTGGGATATTCACATTTTTTCATATTGGATATTTACGGTCCATCCACTTTTTTTTGGATAAAACATACTTTCACTTTACTATCTGTTATTTGTAGCTTATTGTTAACTAATTTTTGAGCTGGGGTGCGAGACTTGACCCATTCTAAAAAGGGGGCGCGGCTTAAAGAGTTTGAGAACCACTGAATTAGATGATTCATGATGTTTTGGACATCTATAGTTCAAAATTTATTATGCGCTAGCTTATTCCGTTAAATAGTAGACATTGGTCATTGAAATCAACCAAAAGTATTTAAAAGTTTTGTTGAAGTGTTTAGCGACTCTTTTGGCTGTTCCAAGTACTTATTTAAGTAGTCAAATGAGGACTTTCCAGTGTCATAATTGACTTTCGTTCATTATTTGTGGGAGCAATGAAATTTTCTTCTTAGTGAATAGCGAGCATTTTTACTCAATGTATGCAATATTCACTATTATTAAATCTTTTTTGTCGATTATTGGAGTTTACAAAATTTGACGTACATTTATATTAAGTAGACTAAATTAGATAGTTGGAATGGAATTATGAAAGATTAGAAAAATTTTTATTGAAATAACCTGATTTTTCAATTTTTTTACTATTCATTTTCTATAATTATTCTTCAGTTATGTACGATCATGCATAGTAAGAGTTAATCAGGCATTTTTTCGATTTAGACTACGTGTCAGGTTTTGAACAAATCTCCATTTTTAATTTTTGAATTTCATGATTACGAACAGTTCGTTGGTGTAAAAAATTTTCCATCAAATTATTCATCAAGTTGTGAATTTTATAAAATCATAATTTAGCCTTTCTATTCAGGAGTGATCTTGACTAATAATTGTGTTTAAAATTATTGTTTTGAATATAAATTAACCCAATTTACTTTAAAAAAATCCAAACAAAACCTTGTTTTATCATTCTAAAAAATAATTAAATCGGGTGATTCTACTGTTTATAGGACTTTTTCAGCGCCTCAGAAGTGTGTATACCAATATGGAGGTAACTAATTTTGTTTGCCTACTTTACATCAAGTTGTGTAAAAGGACAGAAACCTATGGGCAGGGGGTATATTCACTAGGCTAACACAGACAGTCCCCGAACTCGTAATAGAACTAAAAAAGGGAAAATCAGATTTAAATTATGGTTTACCGGTAACCCTAACCTGTTACACACACTACGGGAGTACCACTTTTTCACTCAAAACAATGCTTATGCATATGCAATCACCGATATGTAAAGAACTACTATTTTTAGAAGGCCTAAATTCTTTCAATTTATTACGCTCATGACAGTCAACCTGCGAGCCGACATTGTGAATTCTAACTCTTTCACCACTTTGCCATTACACCCATTAATCAATCTATTCATTCTCCCATTATTTATTGATTTATTGACAAATTTATAAGTGAAACATGATATATAACAGATACCAGCAATGCAGAAAATGGTTGAATCACGTTGGTCATCTGCTATGAATCAAATGTCGAGTGAGGTGGAAGCAATATCAGGAATTGATAGAGATTTGAGATATCGAAGATATGAGGTTGGTTATTAATGGTTTATCTGAGGTTGCCACCAGGGATGGGGGGGGGGCACGTTTTTGGATCGAGGGACAAAAATTTTGCTCACCTAGAATGGCAGGCCATATAAGTATGACGTAAGGAGTTACATTTTATGAACAATATTTACAGTGTTAAAAAAGCAACAGTGGAAAACAATAAACCTCTTGCCAAAACTAAATTTAACCGCAATCTCAAAAAAAAATTCTAATAATTAATTAATAAGTAATTTTTAGCTAAAACATCAAAATTTGGTTTCAGTTTGGTTGTGGCAGCATCAGGCCGGCCAGATTGAAATACTTAGCGGGCGGTACTTTGCCCATGTCTGCTATACAGCCTAATGTTTTCTGCCTCTACCTATTTTTTACATTAAAAATAGTAGCCTGTATCTAACAACTGTGTTTTACCCTAATATTTTAATAATTTTGGCTCGTGAACCAATTATAATTTGAATAATGAGTACTGGTCTGGTCTATATCGATATGAAGAAATCTATATATAGTGTATTAATGGTCGCTTGTGATAGTAATTTTGGGTATCTGACATTTTAGGGTTTCAAATTTCTTTGGATTTTTCAAAAAATCTAATTTTTGACATTTCTAGCCACTTAGGATTATTTTTTTTTTTTTATAAAATTAACACATAATAAAATTGTAACACATATGGTAAAACCAAATCGTTCAGATTTCATTATCTTATTGATATTATCACATAGTAGGCTTCTGTTTTAGGTTACCTATATAAGGCTATATTGTTCCAAGCGGCTTTGATATATTTATGGTAGTTAATGTTTTGATCTAATTGAATAATATATGATAGGGATAGTGGCCCGCGCTGAATTTTCAGAATTGAATAAGAAAATTGAGTAAAACTATTTTTCGAGTGATGTAGTATACAAAGATGTGATACAAACGATTTGTTCATCTTTCTGAGATCCGCTCTGCCAGCCCTTTCAAACGAGCCATGAGTGCCATTTTGAATGGAAACCAACTGAGAGGAGATATCGATTCATAAAGGTGCCATACTCGCTTACACACTTGGTCTTTTACTACCCTATATTATGTTATCGCCAAACAATCAAAGCCATTCTATTCTCACTACCATGTTAAGTGGCCCTCGTAATTATTAGTGAACCACATGTGGCCCTTTGGCCAAAAAGGTTGGCTGATCCTGTTCTAGAGTGATACATCTAAATTGTATGGCATTGAAATTTCATACTGTAGTATTAGGAATTCAGTTTATGTAGGAATCATCTTTATATGTGAATTCCGAAGTTAGCCTACATATATGATTTTAATTTAGGATGAAATGAATGGAATAGAACAAGCAAGACCACCTGTTATACCACATGATATGCAACAGGTACTTTTTACTAAACAAACAACTTATCACAATTGCTGGGAATTTTAGCCAGAGCGTTAACTAGACATAACTAGACTTTGTCAACTTATGCTCTTTGAGTTTCCATCTTTTGACTCAATTGTCTCCTTTGAAAGATTGAAATTGTGACTTCGACTGGAGAATACAAATCAAGACAGAAGAAAGAAAAAAAGACTATTTTAACAATTAACATTATTTAATGCAGAAAATTTCACATTTGATCAATGCGATAAATGGGCTGTTTTTTTTACACATACATAAAACAACTGATTATCCAATTTTGACAGTTGTACTTTTATTTCTCAAAGTTAGTATTTCTATTTTACTTATTATTTTATCATTGTTTTAAATGTGAGTAAATTAAAGTAGTTGTCCGAGATCAGACGACCTGTAGTTTGGTTTAAATGTTCAAATTAATTAATAATGCCGGTATTTAATTTCAGATTCATCTAAAATCGGCTTCCCAATCAAGCATACAACATGATGACAGGTCACAATCTACAACAGTTCATTCTACTCATTCAGAACGAGAGACTTATATTCCTAAGCCTGGAATAATTGGGTAAGCTTACGTTTCCGCTTAATTTAAATGCAGGGTGATGAAAAAACAGAACTCAAGTCATATGGAACATACTCAAGACCAGGGGTTCCCAAACCACAGCCCACGGGCCAATTACATCCTGCGTAACGATTGAATATGGCCCGCCAAACTTAAGTGACATAATTAACCTTTTTTTTTTTTTTGTGTTCTAGATATCGCCAATTGTTACATCATTATCACAGTTTAAGCATGTGTATATTCGTAACAATTCAATTCAGCATCTTAACAATTCGGTTTCCTAATTATACACACCGTTACCGGTATCGAACCCTCATGAGCGCTCCCCTCTCCTGGCCTGCAAATATCCTTCAGCTTCTAATCCTGGCCCGAGGTCAATCAACTTTGGGAGCCACTGCTCTAGAGTGAACGTAACTTTTGTTCCACACGTCCTAGATCACTGAAACTTTTGGTACAATCTTACACAAACAGGAGTTCAAGTGTTGAATAACTATTATCCATTTTCGTAAAAGTATTTAAGAAATTTATGGTTCTGTTTTTCGGCATCACAGTGTACCATATTTGTGCATGCGAAATTTTAATTGTGTTCATTGGTCTTTCTAGTGAAATTGGTGAACGCATCAGGAGAGAAAAATTTGAACCAGCTTATGTGCAACGCAGATCTGCGTTTGAAACTGATTTCATGAAATATAGAAAGAAAATTGATGAAGCTTTGCAGTTAGCAGGTAAGAGTAAATTAATAGATATGTTTCAGCTCGGTAATTGATCAGGTTCCATATTTATTCAAGCAAATAAAATAAGTGTAAAAGTATAAATTGATGGAACAGGATATATGAAAAATACGGAGAGAGAAAAATAGGGAGTGCTATTACTACTGGGTTGAAAATAAACTTTGGGTTATCTTCGACTAGTGGTTCTCAAGTTAATCCAAATAAAAATTGCGGTCCTTGTGGCGGTTCCGCTTTCGCGAAAGCTGAAATTGTCCACTCAGCTGCGATACGATACTAATAGGCTACTGTGACAAATTGAATACCTGTACCACTTCGTGTCCAGATATTTGAGCATCGCTTTTTTGTTTCCCTCTTCCCTGGGATAAATATGATGTTCCTATTTTACAATTATTGATTTATTCCGTTATTAATTCAAGCTAGTACAAAATGTTTGTTTTTGGTAGTAATCTCCCTTTTAATCAGTTCTGAATATATTTTTTTACAGATCCAGGTTTATACAGAGAGAAAAGTGATTCCAGTTTGAGATCATCTCGTCATACTGCTGCTGCTTCATCTAGTTTACAAAAGATGGATGGTACGATTTTTCACTTAAATAAGTGCCCCATATGAAAAATAGAACTGTGGGTACTCCTGTAGCATTTGTGGACTATTTTGCAAAATTTTTTTATGAAAAATTCCATTTTTTTAGTAACCAATGAGTAATCGACCCTTCAATTTTGAATCTTCGATAGTTCAAGATATGAAAAGTAGTTTAAAGGCTATTCCTTTCATTTTTTTCAACATAATTGGGGTTCAATATTTCACTCCAGATTTTTCTGTCATTTTTGGCAAACTCTGCCTATATAAGGCATTGGTATGAATTGCAGCAGTTGGGTTTGCAATTCAAACAAAAAATATATATACTATAACAGTAATTCTCAACAAGGATTCAGGGACCACTAGAGTTTATATTCGGATCTAGGATTTATATTTGAATCTAGGAGTCAATATTATAAAATTTATATTGTTTAAATATAATCAAATACCCTTTTTGCCAGTATTAGGTTTGCTTTTCTATACATCCACAGTTCTATCTTCTTATAGCCTTACAAGTTTTAAACAGGGGCTCCTCGAGCTTCTGAAATGTTTCACTGAGGTCAGCTCCACCAAAAACATTGAAACATTCTTTAGTATTTATATTTGAAATAGTATAAATCAGGTGTGTGTAACCTTTAATACACGAGGGTCAGATAAAAATAACCGGATGAAACCGCGGCCGCACCTTTACTTAACATAGGCTTTCATTTCAAGTAGTTGCAGACACAAACATTTTGGTTATTGACCTTGTGAAATGTGTTGTTCGCTTTGCACAAGCTCAGATATAGGCATTGCAACCCTAAGGAATTTGGGATTACTCGCACATACTAGATTAAATTAAAATCCTGTTCCGCTGGCCAAAAGTTCAAAAGTGGCGCCTCTCCGTGGACTGCACATGTTTTCCTTGTGGACTGCATTTAACCTGTGGGCCGCAGGTTGCACACCGCTGGTATATATAATACAGTAACTCAATATCCTTTATTTCAAATCAAATTTTGAATTATGACAATAAATATTTCAGATACAATGTTGAGTTCATTATCATGGGATGAATTAGAAGCTATGATTACTGAATCTGTGTTGATGGATGCTGGAACTGATGGTGGAGATTGGTAACTAAATTTATATGAAGATTATTTTTTGTATTAATTTGGAGGAGTAGCATATTCGGCGCTCTAGAAGTGTGTGTACCAATATGGAGGTAACTAATTTTGTTCGCCTACTTTACATCAAGTTGGGGACTGATTACTATGGGCAGGGGGTATATTCACTTGGATAACACAGACAGTCCCCGAACTCGTAATAGAACTAAAATAAGGAAAATCGAAATAAAACTCTGGCTTAACCCTAACCTAGTACACACACTACGAGAGTATCGCATATTCCACCCATTGTTAGGTACAACATCCTAAACCCCAGTCAAGTCAAGGGCCATCCGAGTTAAGCTTTAGCCCCAATAATTTGAGCCTTAAGATGAAACGCTGATGTTTCAAGTCCGAGCTATAGTAGAACCCACACACAATAGTGGCTGTAAAATTTGTGTTTGCATTGGTCTTCATTGTTGTGATCCTTACAGTTATACAACTTCTTCTAAAATTTAAAAAGGTGAATAATTACCATTAATTCTACTTCAGTAGTTCCCAAACTGTGGGTCGCGACCATGACTTACGGGGTCACCTGACTTCCGCTGAACGCAAATACGATAATAAAGTAAATATATGACTCGAGAGTTGGACGCACTGTATTGCACTGATATACTGCTTACCTCTGTCCATTGTATGCTGCCAAAAACTTACAGGCGAATGTTCTCATTGCGATAATTAAAAAGATTATACTGATTTTTGAAATTGCTGTACTTTCTTTATTGTGAAGTCGTGAATATCTATAATTTTTAATTTTACGAAAATTAGGGTCGCAAAAAAAAAGCTAAACTATATTGAATAAATTTTGGCTACAAATCTCAGCCCAACAAGAATTCAATTGGTGTTACAAAACCGGTATAATAGCAAAGTCTTCATCAAAGTTTGAATATGCGAAAAATTGGTTTTTATATATTTCTTTAATTATACAAAGTATTTCTGTGCCTGCTCCAAACATGGCCCTGTGCAAGCAGCCTTTGCTAGGTAACAAGATGCTATAGTTTGGAAATCGTTCTATTCCGCATTGCCTACCCAAGTTACATCTGGGTTTGAACCCAAAATTTTTGAACTGGGATGCCGCCATAGTTAAGTCTAATGCAGTAACCACTAGGTCACCGTGCCTATATTGTCTTACAGGACTGCGGAAATGAGTAGCGTAGATGCAAGGATACAAGATAGTCTTCAATTACTAAATGAATTACAAACAGATCAACAAGAATTCAAACGAGGCCCTAAGAAAGACAATCGTGTAACCAAACAACAAAAAGTTCAGAATGCCAAGAAATCCAAGTATGTTCACACATGATTTAGCATCGATTCAAACATGGCCATACTAGAATATAGACATTTTCTTTTTTCTTCTTCAGGAAACATGCAGCAGATGTTGATGCTCGGATAAATGATGCCTTGTCTTTACTTGGTGAGATCAAGAACGATCAACGTCAAATCAAAACGGGTCAATTAACAATGGTGAAAAGCTCTACACCATCACAAAAAGGGTTTGTATATTAATTAACAGAATTTTTATTGCGTTTCATTCCGAACAAGTCTCTCTGTGCATTTGGGCAATCTTCAATACTGGAGGGCCAAATACAGAAAAATAGGTGAAACATTGGGGCCAGGCCTTTATTTAACATAGGCATTCTAATAGTTGCAAGCACAAAAATTTTGGTTTTTGATCTTATGACATGCGTTGTTTGCGATAATATATTGGACTCAGGTATAGGCTTTGCAACGCGAAGGAAATGGAATTACCAGATTTAGCTGAATTGAAAAGTTGTTTTTCTGGATGTACACCATTGAAAATTTGCACTTCTCCGCGGGCCGCACAAATTTTCCTTGTGAACCGCATTTGGCTCGCGGGCCGCAGGTTGCACACTCCTAGGTAAGGTGATCGGCATGGAATCTTAATTTAGGAGTTTCAATCTGAGATATCATCATGGTTGAATCCAAAGCTTTAAGCATGAGGCCACATTGCCCACAAATTATTTTAAAGTATTGATAATATAATTAGGACTATGGAATTTGAGCAACTTAGTTCGACACGAAGCCATCCAAAAATCAACTTCGAACTCCAGAGAAAAACAGAAAATTGGGCTCTGATTTCAATGTATGCCTGTCAGATAATAATATTTGGGTGCTTTGGCAGTTGCAAGTCTTTCTAGTTTTGGTTTAAATTTCAACGTCTTTCAAATTTTCAGAAATATGCAACTTTGTAAATATCAAAATTTCAACAGCTGCGAATATAAAATATAAATCTGAATCAAAAGCGAATACCAACAAAAAAGTTCCCAAAATTTGAATCCAATTCCAATATTATAACAGATAAGACAGACATAAAATTTTTAACCTAAGAGACTAATAATATTCTTGTTCAGAATTTTCAGTTGAAAGATGATCACATACTAACACAATGTAAATAATGATTTGTTTTTCAGTCTTGGAAAATCAAAGGGTGTGGACAATTGGACAATGGAAGCAATGGATTTACTAAATGAACTAAAAACGGAATTTGAACCCTCGAAGAAAGTTTCCGCCAAAGAGAATTATCCTCCAACTTATACTAGGTAAGTATCGCCTGAAATTGGGATACGAACAGAATTCCGTTCAAGCTCTTTTCTATAAGACGCTTAGTCATGCTTTGTGCTTCGACCAAGGCACTGATATCTAACAATATATGAGGAGATACTACTTGGAAGGGTCGAAATCTTATTGGTTAATTAAGCAAGCCTACTCGATTTATTACACCCTGGGTGAGGTGGGGGCATGGGATTTGAACCCCGGATGTGTGATTTGGGGTAAACGATTTAACAGGTATGCCATCGAGCTGCCAAAAATATGGAATATCTCACAGTGAAAGACTTGATCCGAGTTATTTTTCAACAAATTAATGGTGTTGTAGATTCTGAGAACATTTCTGTCTTGCATCCGATCTAGAGCTCTCGCAAACTTTTTGGGCCGCGGACCCCTATTTGTGAATCTTAGTTTTGACGGAGCCCCATACTATGTCGTATCAATTTATGTGCCTAACTAACGAGAAAGGATGAGGTTTCATTTACAACACAAACGACATCAATGTGATTACTTTCACTGCTCAATTTATCAATATTCGGGGCAATTTGCGACAAGCAAACTTGTAGGTCTGACTCTACTACGACAAGGCCGACCCGTATGTTGTCCTCATATGAGTGAAGCTGAAAATGCTACCTCACTGATGCAGGTCATTGCAAAAGGCTATAAAATTTTAATTGCTTTAATGATAGCAATGGGTATTCGTCCGCATTGCTCAACCAAAGAAATACAATGGCTTTTCCTTGATATCAATCATTAAAGATCGATCAGACTTTTTTTATATCGTTGCGAACCCCCGGGAGTCCACGAACCCCAGTTTGGGAAACCCTGCTTTCGATTATACCACCTTAATTTGAGCTTAAAAATCCAGTCCGTAAACTTGACGTAACTCTATTTAAGAAGCTCCAAATTCCAACTGTGACAAGCTAATAAATTTGACTCTCAAGAAATTTTAAACAAATCTTCTTCTTCAATAATAACATAAAAATGTCGAACACAAACAACTCAATGTGTATGTGAACAACACTTCATTGAGTTCTGATTGTATATTATTAATCTTGCTCAGAAATATTCTAGATGCTGTTAGAATCAAAATCTTATCTGTGTAAATGATTCACTCCATATTTCATTATTTTTTTGAATTCATTTTTCAGAAAATCTGACTCTGAAAATATGAGAGCACATATTGAAGAAGCAATGGCTTTATTGAGAGATGATAATACGAAGTAATCGTCATGGCAACAGTTTGATGGGACAGCTGAAGTATTACTCTATAACAGTAAACTAATTATACCTAACTATATGAACACTTGTCAATAACAATATTTTTATAAATTTAATTTTGGGTAATGTTAGTTTGAATTCATTTGTATAGTGGTTGAAATGCCCAGTGTTACTTGTAGAGAATCCGTTGTAGAAATATCATGATAATTCACTAAAAGATGTTTCTAACAGTATTTACTATTCTAAATTCTTGAAAACATGCTATTCAATCTCTTTCTATATCTAAGTGTACTTAATATTTATTGACTATATATCAGCTAACATCCTAGTTTACTTAACAATAATGTGCTTTATGTATTATCATCACATTAAGAGTATTTTGTGGTGAGAGTGAATTATTGTATTAGTAATACAAATCCTAGTTGAAATTTCTAGTGAAGGAAGTTTTTGTATCATATGCACAGAAGTGTGACATTGACCTGTAATTGAATTACTCCTAATCTGCTGTCTCTCTATACTTTGTAGTTTCAAGACATTTTCCACTGTGATTTCTTCATATTACACATTATATTAGTTTTTATAATCCCCCTGAATTTTGAAAAATGCGCCATGCATGCATAGGTTGCACAAGCTATACTGTAAAATTTCACACTTTTTTTGTCCACAACGTCCTTTCTAATGTGCATCCATAATGCCATTTATATACAATTTTGCAAAGTTTGAAAATCCAAAATTTTCAACACTTTTAGTGGATAATCAGTGGTACGATGTCAATATGTATTGACGTTACGATATGGAAACCAATATTACTTGTTTATCTTCTCTCACCAAGACTGTACAATAAATATTAATACGAAGCCTTGATATATCCGGATGTACAAAATTTAGCCTAAGACATTGAAATTTACGAAGATTATTACTTAGATTATAGTTATTCTATTGGTGTTGTTTATCCATAGACTTTGGAAATTATGATTCATATATTATATTTTTATTTATTTGTATCTTTTTATATACTCAGTGTAGAAACCAAGCTTAAATAAATTTACTCATTCTCTCGTGAAATTTGTTGGTGTATTATTGGACGACTTCAAATGTTGATAAAAAAAAATATTGGTGTATGCAAGCCTTAAACTGACCGATGCAAAGACTCAGCCAGCCGAATTTTCAGTTTGTGTTGGAAATTTTGATATTGATTAATTATCGTCAGTAAAAGTCTGAAATTCAGGACATTTGGGAGTTGTAACTTGCTCCCCAATGTTGATCAAAACATGCCAAACTGACTATATAGTCTGGATAAGCTGACTTTAAGGCTTTGCAACTTGTATCAATGTTTTCTCATGTTTCATCGAACCCTTCCCAAAGTTTTGAAAATTCAGCTTTTGTTGACACACTTACACCAAGCTATCAAAGCTGCTATCATATACATATATTATCTGTTCAATATTCTGAACAAGGCCCTTGGTTCGTGGTGGCTACCCAAACTTGTTAAAATCATCACAAGTTTTGTATAGCCACTACAAACGCAACGTCATAAACTAGGATGTTCTGTCAGTTCGATATCTCTGTATTTATCTGACCTATGTGTGTTTAATTCCAGTGCACACTGACACACTTAGCTGAGGATTGGCTTTTATAACCAGTCAATTTCACGAAAGAATATATTATTACGATCTGTGATCACTCAAAAATGTTATACAGACTACCTTGAATTCAAAGTAAAATTTCAGAAGTGTGTGAAAGATGAAACCTCTCAAAACAGAATCTTATTCTGCAGGATAATGATGAAATATCATTGCTAAAAAGGAAACACATATTTAATCAACTGACAGTAATCAATGCAAAAATGCTTGAAGGAGATAGCATTAAAGTAGTATCTTCCATAAGTTCAAATGATAAAATAATACAATCATACTAGACCCTAAATGATGATTTGTTCAAGTTGCAAACATCCCAGCTATCATCATTTTAAGAATGGGTGGTAAAGTCTACACTAGGTGCATTGTAATTAAAAAGTTCTAATCGCAATAAGGAAAAAATTAAATGAACTGACATATTTAACGAGTCGCTGTCAGGGGTACTCATAATCTTATGTGGTGAACAGTAAAAACTCGTTTTTAAAACAGAGACAAAGGGAACTTGGACGATTATTTAAAACATGAACTTGAAAAAAATGGTTCTATATGTACAGTTAAGTGCGAAATCAAATTTAACAAAAAAAGAAGTTGAATACTTCAACCAAGATTGGTGTTTTGCAGTTTTCTTAAAAGTAGTTCGAATTGTGTTGCCTCACTAAAGCAAAGTGATACATTGCTTGAATCTTTGATCGGCCTCCTTTCCATCAAATCCTTCAAAACAATTGGGGAGAATTCCATTTTTATTCCAACAATATTCCGATTTTGAAAATCAATGACAGACTTGGACCCAATTGACACAAAAATTGTCACATCCTCTAATTCTTGAGTTTGAGATTGAAGTTGCGTGAGATATTTTTCATACGAAAAAACACATATCTCTTCTTCACGATCTAGTTTTATTGGTTTTTGATATTGGTAATCTAGATTTGGATCTAAATAATATACATAGCTTTGGCATTTTCTTTTCATGAGGAATGACAGAGTTTCTGGTTCATAACGAAACACCACACCTAAATCGAACATCTTAAGAGTTTCTGTTAAGTTTGTACTATTTTGTTCTACTGATGTTTGCGGCAATTGTACCAGGTTAAATTGTGTGAAATCAAGCATTTGTTCTTCCGTGAAATATTGCATCGGTAACAAATTATAAACTGTGTTCTGATCACCATAGCATATTCTATATCCTTTCACAGTATCATCAAATTGCTCTTCTGAAACTATGTTACCATTATAGAAAACCCTAAATTCACATCTATGAAATTTGTCGCTAGAAATTCCCATATCTTTTAGAAAACGTTGAAATGTAGATGCTTGTTCAACACTGTTTTTGCTCTGTCGAGACATTACAACAGCTGATGAAGATGACGGGACATCTGTAGGCATGTGAGCAAATGACCCATTAGTTGTATGTGAATGCCCTCTACTTCCTACGTATTGTTGATCACTCATTGGCGACCAATTATGATCCATTTGAATGCTTGGTGGTGGGCTAATATGGAAAGTATCATATGTTGCAACATTGTCAATGTAGCGATTTTCGAGAGCATTGTTTCCTATTGTACCATTTGATAGATTGTTAAATTTCACTGAATCAGACTCTATATGTTGCATAATTCCATTTTCTGGTTTTATACTATTTACAAAAGTTGCTTGTGTGTGACTATGAGGCATATCCAAATCTATTTTGCCATCGACAGTTTTTAATTTGCCATCATCTAGATTAGGGTTTGCTGTCTTCCTTCGTTTCGATTTTTTTTCTCTTTTTTTCTGTTTTTCTTCTTCTTCTTCTTTCCTTTTTTGTTTTCTTAAATTAACCTCTTTTGGTGAAAGTACCTTATACACTTTATAATTATCTGACTGTTTGTCAGTTTCATCTTTAACCAATTTAAAGTCGTCGCACTTGTTTAGAAGAGTGCGAAAGTTTGATTTTAATGTGGAAAAGTCGGATTTTACACCAGGCTTGTCTTGTCTATTTTTATTGTCAGCCCATCCTCGAAGGATTCGATATAAATCTTCCCAGCCAGGTCGGTCTTTTTGGGGCCAGGGAAGTTTGAATTCCTGCTTGCTGTCGTCTGTCCACTCTAAGCCATCAATTTCATTTTCATCGACCAAATTGATCAACCAATGCCTCAACTGTGATCCATGCAGTCCATAGTCTTTTGACGTCGCCATTGCCATATAAAGACTATCGGATATTTGTCGTTTTTGGCATCTGAACAAGGTCAGAAGAAAGACATACAACCGGTATCGAAAACATTCTCGGCTGGTATCGTACGAGGGAAATCCCCGTAATCGAGATGTGCGCCAAAGTGGGGCTTCCCCACCAAGGATAAGCATTGATCGGGATCATACATGTGCTTATTCTCCTACCTCAGTATCATAATGTCTTAAATTATTGGACACGTTAGTGGACATAACGATCGTTTTGGTATTTTTGTTGTTGTTCTTGTTCTTATTTGTCTTCTTCTTGGTATCGTTATGAAAAAATCGCTTTTCTCGTTGATTACTGGACCAATTGCTTTGAAATTTTCAGTGAGTAAAGATTATATTTTTCCCCAGAAGGCTATTACTTTTATTTATTCTTAAATTTTATATGAATCCTATGAGATATGATATTTCATACAAAATTTCGCGGTATTTATTTTTACTCATGGGAACACTGTTTTACACTTATTTCAAGCGGTTTCGCGATCGATTGTCTTGCTCAGTACTACAGCTACTGTAGGTCGGTACTGGTAAGTTGCCATACCGGTACCGTAACGCAGTGAAATTGACTTATTCCTTCCGCGGTATTACTAATGCTACAATGCAAGTTTTATAGCCTATCGTATGCGGAACGGAATATCAGACCTACAGGTTCGGTACCGGTACTGGTAGCTCAGTACGTAAGTACGATACTGGTACTGGTGCCGGTACCGTTGTCTTACCACAATGAAATTACCGTAACTTATTCTTTCACGGTCCTACCAGTGCAGTAATGCAAGCGTTGTAGCACTTGTAGCCTACTATATTTGTTTATTTTGATGAGAGTCTACTGGAAACAACATAAAATTTGAAAGGGAAGAATTGTTCTGTGATCAATTATCTGTCCTAAAGTGTAAACAACATAAAATTTGCAAGGGAACAACTGTTCTGTGATCAATTACCGTATATGGCCTACAGTGTACAGGTAAGATGCTGGCTGACTGCTAACCGGTACTGGTAGCTCAGTACGTAAGTACGATACTGGTACTGGTGCGTAGGATAGGATAGGATAGGATTTTATATTTATCCCGGGAGAAGAAAGCCGATAAGACGGCTTATCCATATGGCGA